TGATGTCCTTCTTGTACTTGCGCTTGAACTCTGCGATGAAGTGGTTGACCATGCGGTTGTCGAAATCTTCCCCACCAAGATGGGTGTCTCCAGCCGTAGACTTGACCTCAAAGATACCATCCTCGATGGTCAAGATGGACACGTCAAAGGTGCCACCACCAAGATCAAAGATGAGCACGTTCCTTTCAGACCCAACCTGGGAAATATAGCAAATCTGAGCACAGTTGTACAGGTGCACATGGATGTAAATCATGGTACACACTATTGACCTAAATCTCACCTTCTTGTCCAAGCCATAAGCAATAGCTGCTGCAGTGGGCTCGTTAATTATTCTCAACACATTTAGACCAGAGATAGTTCCAGCATCCTTGGTTGCTTGACGTTGAGAGTCATTAAAGTATGCAGGCACTGTGATAACAGCATTTGACACAGACTGAAAGAATTGAAGAGAGAGTTTTAAGTATACTGTGGCAGTACTTTAAAAAGTGTCTCAACATTATTATTCGGAAACCTACCTTCCCAAGGTATGCTTCAGCAATCTCTTTCATTTTTGTTAGCACCATAGAAGAGATCTCTTCTGGGTAGAAGGTTTTGGTTTCACCTTTGTATTCAACCTCCACTTTGGGGCGTCCACTGTCACTGATTATATTGAATGGCCAGTGCTTCATGTCAGACTGAACTACAGGGTCCTCAAATCGTCTACCAATCAAACGTTTAGCATCTGAAATCCAAGGAAAACATTAAAAGATATAAGTTCAGATACTTAATATTTTCACATCATATTAACACACTACAATCATTCACTTAGTGATCTGGCAGTGACAGCACACGATCATTGCAATAAATACATATTTAATAACATATATTGTTTCAAAATGCTGTAAACTTACCGAAGACTGTGTTGGTGGGGTTCATGGCAACCTGATTCTTGGCTGCATCCCCGATCAGCCTCTCACTGTCTGTGAAGGCCACATAGCTGGGCGTGGTCCTGTTGCCCTGGTCATTGGCAATGATTTCAACTTTGCCATGCTGGAACACACCAACACAGGAGTAGGTGGTCCCAAGATCGATACCAACTGCTGGTCCTTTGGACATGATTGCTCTCTGAGAAAGTAAAACAACACATAGTTATTGTTATTCCAGCTGCGGGCTCTCAAAGAGAGCAGGGTTTTAATGTCTGCACATGTTGATATGTAAATCCAGTAGTTTTGGATTTAGTCATATCTTACAAGTATGATTAATGAGATACCCCCACACATTGTGTAAATGTCAGAATGCCATTTTTGTTACCTACCTATTAGGACATTTAAAGAGGACAAAATCTGCCTAATTTTTCTTCAACCCTAACTGTAATGGCCACCTTTCAGGTGACATTTATATATAGTGTTATGTAATAGAATAGCCTAGGGTCTACCACAGATCAGATCAGTTTACGGGTCAGTGTAAGGCAGCCATCTTAGACTGTAGAAACACAATATACTGTGAACCGAAACAGCGTGGAGAGTGGGTCTGGGCAACTGATACATAAATCAGGAATCCCTGCAATCCCCCAAGAAGTTGCCTGCAGTATCTAGCTGGTCCCACATCTCTGCGCTGAGTGGCATGAATTGGTGAGACTGACTCCCTGAGCTGAGTATTCTTGAAGTAATGCCACAGCAGTTTATTAATACTTTAAATACAAGTGATCAACTTATTAATTTTTGTGATAAAATTATATCAGAGGAAGAATGTAGGCAAATGAATATGCTGTAAACACAGTAATCACACTATAAAATTCTACAAATATTATTGTGATAGAAAGGAAGAAAAGCATTTATAATGTCACTACAACCACACTATTTAGTTCCACAGACACCCAATAGTACATAAAATGTGCTGTCAGTGTTATTTGGCAGTAAGAAGCATTTACACATACAAGGGCTAACTGGGCTAACTATGCATAATCCTATTGAGAGAGAGAGATTCTTACCTTGATGATGCTGTGGCCTAGGGCAGCTGCAGTCTGTCTCTGGTCTCCTCTACCAGATGATTGCAGGCAGAGGATGCCGGCCGCTTTGCTACTGTAAAAGCTTCCCAATGGTGCGTAAGCCAATCAGCTTGCAGAACAGCAGTGAGCTTCCAGCACATTCTGGATTCAGTCTTCCTGTTGGCTTTGAGCTGTCGCCTATGATTGGCTAAATCCCGGACAGTTGCTGCTTCCAATGTACATTCATGTACATCCACTGTATGTTTAACAGTGACACAGCCTAAATACTAAAGTACAATATACTGTATTGGCATCATTACTGGACAAATTATAACCAATATACTGTTTCCTTATCGATATAGCAATATGCAGCAATATTTTGTCTGAATATTATATTGTTGTATATTGTTATTGTATCACATATCATGTAATAATACTATTCATTTCAGTTCATTTCAATTTTATATTTAAACTACAAGAGCTTTTATAGACACTGTCAGTCATAGATTACTGTGTTCTGTATGCCCTTCTAATGAGTCTCAGTCACAACCTGAATCCTTCTTCACAGGTCAAACTGCAGACGCACAGTGCTGCTGCATTAGCATCATTACATAACATGTTGCAGTCCTTTTCCTCTATTACAAACAAAGATTCCTATCTGATAAGATATGATTGTTGTATATCTGTCTATAATGTAGATTGGCAGATTTAAACTGCAGTAGGTAACCTTTATAAAAAATAACCTTTGGTCATGTTTGCTGAAACTTTCACTATAACCTGACAGTAGTACATGAGACAAATAATCTGTAAACTAGGACTCAAGTCTAGCAGCCACTGCTGTTCAGGTTTAGCAAAACAGATTGGCGCAGGATGTTAAGAATAGTATAGTAAGCTACATTTTCAAGAATTTTAGGGCTGCACATTTTTACAATTGGATAATGTTAGAATAACATAAGGCCTACAACAATAATAAATATAATATTTTATCAAAACCACAGGGAGCCCCTGGAGAGGTTGCCTGTCCTAGACCATACCAAACACTTTACTTCTACTTTTAATTGACTGCGATACTTGTTTAAAAAGACTCTTCTATGAGATTATATCAAATTTAACTGTTACTGCTCACCTGGTACAGCGTGTGCCCCATATACTGAGAGTCCTTACCACAGCAGCCAGGGTTCCTTTCCAACCTGGGGCCCTTTGTTGCATGATGTCCTCTCTCTCTCTCTCTCTCTCTCCCCCTGGTTTCCTGTCACTATCCAAATAAATACCTAAAAAGCCCCTCTGACAAACCAAACATTTGTTTAGGTTTACTTCCATGAATGTTAAATGTTACCCTTGTACAGGGAGATCAAAGATAAGAAATTACAGAATATGCTGTTATTTCCTGTTTAGTCCAACTGAAAATGTAAAACGTCACAGACGAGGAAGAATATAGGCAAACGTCTAAAGTTTGTAGGTCAGTAATGATTTGTTTAAACCCGTTCAAGTGTTGGGGAAAGAGCTTCCAAGAAGCATGTTCCAGCACCACTGTCAGGAATCTTGGAGTTATCTTTGATCAGGACATGTCCTTTAATTCCCACATAAAGCAGACCTCCAGGTCTGAACATTATGAGTACTGACAGGAACTAGAAAAAGAGATCATATCTCTCCTGTATTAGCTTCTCTGCACTGGCTGCCTGTAAAATTCAGAATAGAATTTAAAATCCTCCTTCTCACCTACAAAGCTCTTCATGGTCAGGCCCCTTCATATCTTAAAGAGCGGTTCCTATAGTCTCTAAAAGTAGAACAGGAGCCAGAGCCTTCAGTTACCAAGCTCCTCTCCTGTGGAACCAGCTTCCAGTTGTGGTTCGGGAGGCAGACACCCTCACCACATTTAAGAGTAGGCTTAAGACATTCCTCTTTGATAGAGCTTATAGTTAGGGCTGGATCAGGTGAGTCTTGAACCATCCCTTAGTTACGCTGCTATAGGCCTAGGCTATCGGGGGATTTCCCATGATGCACTGAGCTCCTCTCTTCCTCTCTCTTTCTGCACATATTCATGTTCCATTAATGCATATTACTAACTTCACTTCTTCCCCGGAGTTTTTGTGCTTTCTCGTCTCAAAGGTTCTCATGGATCCAGGTGGAGCCTCCTGCCATGGTCCTGCTTGACTGCCATTGCTAATATTACTGATATTATTGTTATCATTATTATTACTATTATTATTATTATTACTACAGTTACTTTTATTACTATAATCACTGCTCATTGTCCCCCATCGTTGTTGTTGTCGTCATCATCTTCTGCATGTTCATCATCATCATCAACATCATCAACATCAGTCACTACTATTAGTGTAGTTGTTGCTACTGTTGTTGCTGTGCACTTTTGTCTCTGTCTCTCTCTCTCTCTCTCATCCCCAGAGTGACACCGCTAGCATGGCTTAATTATACTGAACATGAGTTATATTTTATTTGTATTGTATGAATAAATTTACTTTCCATTTGTCACTTCACACCTCTCTGCTTTCACAAAACTTTCCAGCTGACACAGGTGACATTTTGCTACACCTCTCCTCAGGAAACCATAGACTTGTGAAAAACAACATTGTGGCTTGGTGGTGTGAATAAAAGACCCCCAACCTGAAGTTCATTTAATTAAGACCTTTAGGATCTCTGTGTTGAAGCATTATATATTATTTATCAAAAACAAGCACCCTGAAATCTATCTTTATGTTTACTATATGTCTGATGTGACTCAGCAGAGCATAACAACAATGTCTCTCCTCCATTTAGTTATGACATACAATCTACCTATAATTTTTGTTGTAAAAATAGTTAAATAAAGATACTGAATATTAAGCATTTAATCTTTTTCATAAAATTAATGTTGGGTAGCTTTCAGTTTCAGAAATGGGAGCTAATCCTGAACTATTAACCTTGTGCTTTTTCTGTAGGTATCACATGAGAATCCCTTGAATCAAAAAGTCTGTGGAAACCACAGGGCAGTGATGTCATGGAAGGTCCCTCAGCGCAGTACAAATACATGAAGTGAAGAGGAAACGCAGCACAGTAGAAGTGTTATTGCCCGTGAGTGACAGATATGGAACTGCTACGGCTCAGCGTCTTCGTCTTACTCATACAGGGTGAGTTCTTTACTTTCAATACTCCTTGACTTTGTTGTAAAAAGTAAATGCAGAAAGGAGACGATAAACTGTATCTGATTAAAAATGACTGGACGACAAGTCTTTCAATGGCAATGTGTGGCGTTTCAAAATCTGATGTTTTATTGGGGGAAATTACAAACTCTGATGCTTCTCATGAATCAAATGATTGCATTTGTCTCCAGTGAGCACTGCTGTCTGAGCTCATGCTTTTTGAGATATTTTATATGAAAAGCTAATGATGTAGTCATCAGTAGCTATGATAAATTGCAACCTCATCTGGATTCTCATCCAATTTTATTTCATTTTATTATATGTTATTGTGTATTTATTATTATTTTACTCATTGAATTCTGCCACTCTAGTACAATATGTATGTGTGTATGTTTACATATAAATATGCTGCATATATCTGTCTGTTTACTTACTTACTTTTGTGTGAGGTGTACCAGCATATTATATTTCCTGTGAATTTCCTTGAAGTGTTCTTTATAAATCAGGCCTTAATAATCCAAATGCCTAAAATCTAGAGCTGTCAGAGTTGTTTTCTGTGTTTTTCATGCATTTGTTCCAAAGTACAGTTCAATATCGGTAATATCTTCCACATAACACCTTTCATCAAAAAGTCTTGATGACCTCGGGTCCTTTAAGCCCACTGCCCCCAACGCTGGTGTGAGTTGTGTTTTCCAAACAGCTCGTCATTCTCACCCCGTAGGAAAGAAAAAGCACCCAAAGCCCCCGTGAAAAACCCACAGCATATTGAGATTTTCTCTTACACCGCCCATTACTTTCTCTTTCACCATGAAAGGACTGACCACATTACTTCCTTTCACATCGGGGGGGGGGGCTTCTTCTTTAGCTGCAGTAGAGTGAAGAACAGTTTTTTCTACCTGTCACACCACCTCTGCGTGTGTATACGCGCCACACACACACACACACACACACACACACACACACACACACACACACACAGTCCCAGGACAGTGGCACAGATGAGTCAAACTGTGAGAAACAGGGTTTCAACTTTGGACACCTCTGTGTGCGAGGGAGGGAAACATACATAAACTGCTCATAAAAGGTCATGTCATGAAATGTTGTTGTGCTCTCAGTGTGCTCTTAGTGTGAATTGTCAAAGAAATTCATGTTCCTATTTATGTAATTGCAGTTTCGCTGGCGGTGTGGCAGCGTCTGACTGTGAAGAAAGGTCAGACAGTTGATTTAAAATGTCCAATCACCGATGCTGACCAGACCAATGTGGACTGGAAGAATCCTGAAGGATATATTATGTTCTTCAAGCACAGTAAAGGTGAAGATGACATATCTTACTCTTCAGTCACACCAATAAATGCAATAAGCAGCAAAACAGATGTCTGTCTGATATTTGGGCTAAAATTGCATTGCATCTCTCAGACCTTTTTACGCTCTTTTACGCTCCTAGTGTCCCCAGGTGTAAGGGACAAGCGCTACAGCATCAACAAACTGTCTCAGTCGGAATTCAACGTCCGTATCTCCGATGTCACCTTTAAAGATGGCGGCAACTACACATGCTCTCAGTACGGCGATCACATAACAGAGAAGATAGTGGAGGTGACGGTGTTAGGTGGGTATAATACTGCAGTTGACTGGGTCAAAAGACAAAGACCAGACATGACAGTGATTTAGTAACTGTACTACTAGAGCTATAACCATGACTTGCCATGACCATTGACCTTTTTCACAGCAGCCATTTTGATGTGAAATAATCAAGGGTAATCATAAGTGTTACCAATGATACTAGTTAAGATTCTGTTCTATTCAGGTCAAACAGAGCCCGGGTGCTGCTATTGTGCATGTTGACATACTGGAAAGGCTCTACTACATGAATAAATAGAAGGGAACTTTAATTGATATCAATGGTAACATCTGTGTTTGTATTTCGTGTCAAAATGGCTGCTGTGAAAAAGGTCTATTGTATTATTAGTTAAATGAGAATTTCACGATAGTATAATAACGTTTGCTGTGCTGATTATTTTAAAGGTCATCCCAAAATAACAAGAACAAAACATGACGGAAGATTTGACATAAAATGCTCTGCCGAGGGGAACAGCTATCCTCCCCTGATCTTCTGGAAATTCAATCATGGGCCTGAAATTCTTGGTAAGTTGGCAATAACTAAAGTTGCGAAAAAGCTACACTTTAATGAAGAAGTGTACCAAAGTGATCCATTGAGGCTAACATAACATAGATTAGACTCACAAATACTCCTTTTCCACCAAGGCGGCATGGTTTGGAGCCAGTGCCTAACCTGGAACCAGTTGGTTGTGTTTCAACAGCCAAAGAAACAACTCTTTGCCTGGAAAACTGGTTCCAGTGCGGCACCAACACTTTGCTAAAACCAATAACTTAACTTACAACAAGAGCTGAGGGTCGACTTGTGGCCAGCCAGCTGTAGCTGTTTGGAACATAGATGTTACAAACGTAACGGTGATATTACCTAAGCAAGCAGAGCTACTCATTTCTCACATTAGTGTTTCATTTGTAACATCAAATGAACATTGTTTGTAACCTTAATGTTGCTTTTGGGGTCAGTGACAGTGATGTGAGAAATTAGTATTGTGCTTGCTTGGGCATTGTTAGTTGACCAATAGCTAGCTAACATATGAAACATATATAGTGATGTAATGACGTGGTTCTATGGTGGCTCTCTAGCCTGGGGAAAAGCAAATCCGGAACTAGCACTAGCCTAGCACCAGATTTGCTTTAGTGGAAAGGAGATATTAAGCTGGGTCTTTTGCTGCTTGTTTGTGCTGCAACTTGCACACGGCTATTCTGATCCTCCAGGGCCATAATGTTCTAACTTAAAGATGCACTCGGCTCTCTTTTTGATGAGATATTTTTGTCATACAGCACTGCTGTTTTGAGATGAAACAATCTTCTGATTAATGTGGCATTGTATCCAATAGTTTTGTGCACATAAAATAGCGGATATGCTTGTACATTTGTTTTTGAACACCCAGCACTTTGTAGTGGTCGTCACAACTGCACTTTTGTAAGTGTACAAAAGACTAGACTAGACTAGACTAGATTAGAACAACCACAGAGTGGGCTCATGTTTTATGACGATACCTTCCACAGTTACAGTAATCTTAACCCACGTTTGGTGGGGTTTTGGTTTGGCAGATGTTATTTCAAGCCTCGATGCCATCCATGACCTTTGAAATTCCTTTTTGATTAATTTTGATCAAAGCTATGAGCAATGTCATATCGAATTTGAATATCATTGAATGTATTGAAAGGATAGTAACTTGAGATGCAGCATCTAATTTTCAAGGGGTCCTAAATATATCATATTGTGATTGTTCTTTGATGCAAGCTGGTAGCCTGGGAATCAGACAAATCTGCATTGTGGATCAGTCTGACAATGTCAGGCTGGCAAGCACCTGTCTATAAACTGATCCTAATGCCAATCTATCCCATTCCACAGCTCATTACCAAGTCCTACATGAAGATAAAAAATATGTGTCAATGGCTATTTTACGTGTCCAATCAGTGGAGAGCAGAGTCACTGTGAAATGCCTAGTTCGCCACCCAGCTCTGCACTCACAACCTCTGATGAACTTTGTCAAAATTGGACAAGAATGTGAGTACAATTCATTAAAATAATGATCTCTCACTGTCTTGCAGCTCCATTTTTAGTAACTATTTCTTTAGAAAAGCCCGTATTCGAAGTAAAAATAGCCCTTGTATTAACCAGAACTTGTTTACCATAACGTACTTCTGCATAGATGGTGATATTTGAGGAACAGTGAAATTGTAGTTGTGTCGTCACAGAACAGGGAAAGCACTGGGAAGGTTTTTTCTCATGAATTGCTCCATGACACTGTCCACAGCACCAGACTTTGAAACTTGACCAACCACCAAACAGCCCCATGTAATTTCCTCTTTTTGAATGTTGTAAATAGTCTGGTTTCCTGTATTCTAATTGAAAAAACAGATGTGTGATTTGCAGATTGTTCAAATGTCAGCAAGAATTTTCACTTTAATTTTCAATGCCGTTTCTGCCTATTAATAATAAGAAAACCCCCTCTCTGGCACAGCAGCAAAGTCCCTCCGCACTACCACGACCAGTTCACCTACAGCTCGACCTTCAGGCTCAACAGAGGGGCCGAGAACAACCACCAGCTGGTTCAGACCTGGGAAAACAACAGTGTACCTCGCAACCACAGATGTGAACGGGCATTCCTCAGAGAGCTCTATAAAGTTCTCAGCTGTTCCCTCCAATCAGCTGTTTTCCTCCAACAAGCCAAAGACGGTTACGGCACCCACTGGATTTCCTCTGAACACTGTTACAACCCCAGACGCACGTCTCGCCACCAGTGGTAAGTGAAACCCTTTTTTCCCCTGAAATGATTTCCATCGCACTTTTAAGTCCACATCAGATGATGTGCAGAGATGATATATGGGACACAAAAGACACAGAAGAAAATTAAAGTTATTTTAATTCATTATAATAATGTCATATCAGTTCAAATAGTAAATGATGGCATGCCTCAAAGGCTCAATATTCATAAAAAACATTACGTACAATATATCTACATGAATTTATTTAGATGCACAGTATCTAAAAGAGGAAACTGACTCTACACCTTAAATAATGGTGTGGATATATTAACCGTAAATGTGTTTACCCTTTGCTACACGCCTTATTTATTGCTTTGTATAATAAATGTTTAACACATTACACAAACTATCAGCCCCTAGGATGGAAACTGTTCTCAGCGATCACAATGCTTTTAGATCAGTCGCTTAGCTTTCACTGTAGTTGTGATACCACAAGATCTGTTTCCTGTGACGGAAGTCTCACACTATAGTATGAAACTCAGTAAGTGTACGCTCAAGACCGGGGCTGGAACTGTAACACTTGGTGTAGGTGATAAACTTTTCCGAGATGTACAGAGCATTGTCAAATGTTTGAGATCCCAGCTTGAAGAACATATGTGAACCCAGGAAGTTTTTAACTTTAAAGACAATAGGACAATTTGTCTGAGATAAATCCGTTCTGAGATTAAAAGTTACACAGAACAACTTTGTAAATAATGTTCATCTTCTTGTCTTCATGCAATAGAATTGACCTTTTCTAACTTCTATTTTCTAATGAGGCTTTTTTATCTTCATTTTCTGTAGATAATTCAACAACCTCTGTATTATTAGACTCAACCAGCAGCAGGAATGTCACCATCAGCAATGCAACAAGCTCAACAGGTATGACATCCAGTGTACTGTGTTGTAATATTATGTGCAAAACTATTCTGATGCCATCTAGTGGTAATTCTTAACAACCACAATTGAGCTGTTCCATTTCGGAACAGGATTGAGTGGGCTGAATCAGCTTATTTAAACCTGTGCTAATTATTACATCTTCCTTCTCCATAATTCCTTAAAGGCTGGACATCTGTCTCTGCAACTACAGAGATCACATCCTATAACAGTACGGAGGGAAACAGAACAGGTACAGTACCAGTGTCTGCATGGTTGAGACTAAAATTCCTCTGGTATGAAAATGATAATAAGATACCTGCCTTGTTTTGTCCACATAGTAAAACATGTAATAGGCTTTAAAAAGTGATTCAAGATTTGCTGAAGTAACTAACAACATGCTGTCCATTCCCAGGGAGCTTTGATGACCCGAAGATGCGGACAGGAAGTGGAGGAGGTTCATCTTTACTGGTCTTCCTGGTGACATGCCTGATCTGCGGCCTTCTGGTGGTGGTCACTTTCTTTGCCATCAAGCTGAGGAGAGCGCACATCGCCTGGAAGAGAGGTAAGCAGACCATATATTCCTATTATCTGCTCCTCAGACTAACAACATCACACTGAAGCAGCTATTAATTTGAACTGTAGTCAGGGTCATACATTTATAGAGCAGATCCTTTGTGCTGGTTTTACTCTGGCCTTTGCTTTATGTGTGTCCATATCTTCCCACTAGAAACTGCTGCAATGATCAGTAAAATATGTAGACTTCCTTATTACTGGGTTTGTGTAGTTGCACCACAAAGCTATTTTCTTTTTTAAATGTATTTAAAAAAAACATATTACAGTTTTTATTGTTACAGAGAATGAAGACTCTGATCCATCTGAAGAGAGCAGTAAATCAAAATCAAGCCAGGAAGACAAGAACTCCCAAGGACAAAGGCGAAGAGGTAGGCAGATGATTCAGCACTCTTATGGCTTGTGAGCAGAAGGAACACGGAAATGTACTGAAAGACGTTTGTGCCAGCAGATACTGTAATCCAACTGAAGAAGTTCCTACTGCTTCCATGACACGCTTTGTGAATTAAAACATGGCTCATTTGCTGAAAATGTTGCACAATGGGGTTGAGATTTAATGGGATTATTAGTAAAACATGGCTTCACTGTTGGCAGCCTTGGGGGAAAAGGCACAGGCTTTCCACTTGAATAATGTTGCCCAGATTTATGTGTGAGGAAAAAAAATACATATATATCAAAAACTTTATATAAAATTCTAGTTAACCCTGTGCTGTTTCTGTATGTGCACATCAATGTGTAGCTGTATTTTTGTACATATCTTTGTTAGAGCTTTGTATTGGCAAGAATCTGTAATATGATACGTATCACGATACAGGGGTTATGATTCAATATATTGCGATGTTTAAAAAACAATAGTAATAGTATAAAGAATACATCCCCAAATCTGAGTAAAAATGACACAGTATCACAGTCCCTGTAACATCCAACATCATATAGCCCTCCTTACGTTCACAGCACTGCTATCTGGCAGTTGGGAGTTTAAACACAAAAATCAATATACAATATCACAAAACAAAATATTGCGCTAATCAAGTGTTTTGATATTTTCTTACACCCGTAATATTTGTATATTCTCATTGTTTTATGAATGGCTCATCGAGGACCAATGTCCCATTAGTTGACACACCATGCCAAGCATATTGAAATGCCTGTGAGAAAAAATAGGCTATTTTTGTAACTGTAATTACATTTGACTTGATATGTGCTGAATTATCACAATCAGCTTAAAGCCACTGCATTTAATTTCAAGGCTGGTCTACTTAATTCAGTTCCAGAAACTGAACTTTAACAAACATATTTAACATAAAATGTTCAATATCAGCATGACAAAACAGTCGCTGGTGAGTCACTTGTCTTTCCACAGAAACAGTGCGGGTGTGTAAAGAAGTAACGTGTTCCTTCAATGAATCACTGATTGTAAAACTGCTTTCACTCTCACAGGGATCTTCAACACGGCATTCACACAGTACGTTGTTGAAGAACCACCAGTGATAACCTCAGTGGTAAACACAGCAGCGATGGCAGCGACAGAGAGTGCAAATGAAGAGCAGACTTCTCAACGTCAAACCCCGGAAACAACTTTTGCTAAATGTGACATAAAGGAGACAGAGCTATAGCAATCTGTAAAATATAGAATTTATAATGTCAGCAATATCATGTGCACTGTTATCGTAAGCTTTTTAGCTTTTTTACTGTACTTGTAACAAAAAGAGTGTATGTTTACAAAGAAAACAATATGGTAACACAATGCTTGTAACTGTAGTACTGTACAAATACTGTGTATATATATATTTTTTTACATGTACCAATAAATTATATTTTGCTAGAACATAATAGCATACTTTGTTTGAACATGGATGAGTATGTTTAGGGCAAATATGAATCATGTTTTCAGATATTATCTCTATCTCTTGTGACTTTTTCCATTCAGTGACATCATTGTATCACATGACAACTTAAGGAAACATCTTCATAAAAATATCAGTCACAAGAATCAGTGTAATATACTCTCCAGATGTCTCCTATAACAGGTAGCTAACACTACAGACCATAAGGCAGCAAGTAGAGCAGTTTAACAGAAACAGCAATCACTTAAAGACTGGGAACAGAGGCTGCCCCTATTGTTTGGTTTTTATGTTAGGTAATATAAAACGAAATCATTAAGGGACAAAAATCCGGTTCAGTGTTTCTTTCAATTTTCCATAAACAATGGTAGCTAGATCAGCTAGCCCTCGTCCAACCACGCCTGGGCTCTACTTAGACGTCCCCGGTAATTCCCTAAATGGAATTTATCAATGAAATCGATTCATTTTATTGACTAATAAAACGCATAAACACTTCTATATATAAATATAAAACGTCGGATGGAAGGTTCTAACTAACTACACCTTGTAGCTCCAGAAAAGCTACCGTCTTGAGCCATGCGGTCACTCACAGTGATTATGAAACACGGATCATAAACCAGGAAGTAGGCTGGACGACTATTAACGTCATCAAATATACTATGCGTCATTGGTGGCCCGTTGAGGAAAGACTTCGAGACTCGACGTCTGATTGGCTGCTTTGCCGGTAATATATAAGGTTCCGATAACTGGCCATCCTCCTTTCCCTTCTCATACCGGCAAGGACAAGTCACCCTCGCCGCTGTCCATTCCAACCAACACCTAAAGTCATCCTCGGTTCAACAATTCGGTAAGTCACTCTGGGACGAGTCAGATATGTATGTATTTAAGCCAAAGTGCTTATATTTTCGTGGCTTGTTTCAATGGCGTGAGGGACGTTAACGCTAGCATTTTGCTAACCGTCGCCATAGGCCGACATACGAAGTGAACTTTAAGATATTGAATTGAGATTCCATGAACTGGTGCGACATGTAAACTAGGAGTATAATTCAATGCGTGTAACCGGGCTGTACTCACGAGCACTGGCTAACGTTAGCGCCTTAGCAGGAGCAGGAGGGGGAGGGGGGAGGGTGGGGGTGGGGATTCTCAGATGTTCGAGAATGTTCTCGAACAGCCAGTTTCAAGACGGCCGGAATTTCCGGTTATTTTCAGAACAAAAGCATTATCGACACGTGCCTTAATTTAACTGTGAAGAGTATTATAATTTTCAACATTTTAAAGTATTTTATGGTTAAAACATTTCCGGGGTAATTTTTCATTGATTGTTGCTTTCATATAGAAGATAAAGGTACACAGTACAACTTTCAGTCTTAATCTCGTTTCCGGTCTTAACGCTGGCGTCTGTACGGAACTTGACGTCTGTCACATGACCAGTACTGGCGCCGTGCTCTGGCGTTGCTTAATCTTTCGCAGCGTGGTTTGGCCTAATGTTTTTACACATTAAAGCACTTACGTGTGGAATTTAATTTTTAGCTGTGGTTTTCAATTCAGTTTAGTTTGTAATTTTAGAAGTTCAATATTTATTTAATATCGGGGGTGGTGGTTATTGGTACATACTCGTGCAGACATCAGTCCTAACGGCACCAATGCCTCCAATGGCATGTGTCAAATATGACCAAATGAATGGACTAACTTGTATTGGTTTGTTTGTTACATAGTTTAAGTGTGGTTGCTTAAAACTTCACACCTAGTTTTATGTAAGTGTAATACCCTTGACTAAAACTGCTTTTAAAGTGCAGAAGAATTGTTTGTATCCTTGAGTGAATTGAATTAAGTTTGTTCACATTTCTAAACCAAGATTCTCCTGCCACAAATTTCTTGGGCTGCCTTCCTGAAATGCATGTATTCTAACTGGTATTTGTATGTCAGTCACAGGCTAAAAGTGTTGGCTGTTTCTAAACTGAATCCTGGAAGTCATGCTGTATTCATGAGATTAAACAAACATTTGTTTTTTTTTTCTTCAGGAAAAATGTCGAAGGGACCAGCAGTTGGTATCGATCTTGGGACCACCTACTCCTGTGTTGGTGTGTTCCAGCATGGCAAAGTTGAAATCATTGCCAATGACCAGGGCAACAGGACCACGCCCAGCTACGTGGCCTTCACAGACAGTGAGAGGCTGATCGGGGATGCAGCCAAGAATCAGGTTGCCATGAACCCCACCAACACAGTCTTCGGTAAGACTTCAGTGTTGAACAATGGGATGTGGTTTTGTCGTCCTTGCCACACATACCTGCTGAAAATTGGCAGCATGGTAATCGAGTGACTTGTAATCATAATAGTTAAGCACCTAAGTGCAACCCAACCTGCCTATAAACTCGAGGCAAGAATGACATAACACTGAAATCTCAAATGGTCCCATGTGACCTATTAAAGCACTTGTTCACTGTGATGATGCTTTTCCTGCCATTCGTAGTTTCCACCAGAGGTCGCGAGACCAAAGATGGCCCAAATCCTTCCTTGGATGTCTGAGTGATTTTAAACATATGCAAGCCCACAATGGAGCATATTTCTTGTGATTTAATAAAACACAACTGTCTTTTTCAGATGCCAAACGACTGATTGGTCGCAGGTTTGACGATGCGGTTGTGCAGTCAGATATGAAGCACTGGCCATTTAATGTCATCAATGACAACACCCGCCCCAAGGTTCAAGTTGAGTACAAGGGTGAGTCAAAGTCCTTCTACCCAGAGGAGGTCTCGTCCATGGTGCTGACCAAGATGAAGGAGATTGCTGAAGCCTACCTCGGAAAAGTATGTTTTGGCTTTTGTTTTTTGCATAATTCTTGACAAAGCACACTTTACATACAACACATTGTGATAATTTGACTTATTTCCTTTAGACTGTCAACAATGCTGTAATTACCGTACCCGCCTACTTCAACGACTCTCAGCGCCAGGCCACTAAGGACGCCGGCACAATCTCTGGCCTCAATGTTCTGCGTATCATCAATGAGCCAACTGCAGCTGCCATCGCATATGGGTTGGACAAGAAGGTAAATAAAACGGAGCAATTATGTTTATACCTTCATGGTATCCAGTGTACGTAACAAAATTGAGGTATCATAATTAAGTAGCCTTAAACCAAAACCCCTATTGACTTTTAGGTTGGGTCTGAAAGGAACGTGCTCATCTTTGATCTTGGTGGTGGCACCTTTGACGTGTCCATCTTGACCATCGAGGATGGTATCTTTGAGGTCAAGTCTACGGCTGGAGACACCCATCTTGGTGGGGAAGATTTCGACAACCGCATGGTCAACCACTTCATCGCAGAGTTCAAGCGCAAGTACAAGAAGGACATCAGCGACAACAAGAGGGCCGTCCGTCGTCTGCGCACCGCTTGTGAGAGGGCGAAGCGCACCCTGTCTTCCAGCACCCAGGCCAGCATTGAAATCGACTCCCTGTACGAGGGAGTTGACTTCTACACCTCAATCACCAGGGCTCGCTTTGAGGAGCTCAATGCTGACCTGTTCCGTGGCACCTTGGACCCCGTGGAGAAGTCGCTCCGTGACGCCAAGATGGACAAAGGGCAGATTCATGACATTGTGCTGGTCGGTGGCTCCACTCGTATCCCCAAGATCCAGAAACTGCTCCAGGATTTCTTCAATGGAAAGGAGCTCAACAAGAGCATCAATCCAGATGAAGCTGTGGCCTATGGAGCTGGTGAGTGTCTAGCTTATTAACCAAACATATCTACCCGATTACAACTGGTCTGTCTCTTTCAAGATCTAACTAGTCACCCTTATTTACAGCTGTCCAGGCAGCCATCCTTTCTGGGGACAAGTCAGAGAATGTGCAGGACCTGCTGCTTCTGGATGTCACCCCTCTGTCCCTGGGTATTGAGACCGCTGGAGGTGTCATGACTGTGCTGATCAAACGTAACACCACCATTCCTACAAAGCAGACCCAGACCTTCACCACCTACTCCGACAACCAGCCTGGTGTGCTTATCCAGGTAAACCTCAATATAATATTGTCCATGTTGGTCAGTTTCGCAGTGATGACGTTTATTCCTGCCATTCGTAGTTTCCACCAGAGGTCGCAAGACCAAAGATGGCCCAAATCCTTCCTTGGATGTCTGAGCGAAATAAACTCCGCTGAACTGTAGACACAATGTCGAAAGTATCTGACCCTGCTTACTTCCAACAGGTTTATGAGGGTGAACGTGCTATGACCAGGGACAACAACCTCCTGGGAAAGTTTGAGCTCACGGGCATCCCTCCTGCTCCTCGTGGTGTTCCCCAGATCGAAGTGACATTTGATATTGATGCCAACGGCATCATGAATGTCTCTGCTGTCGACAAGAGCACTGGCAAGGAGAACAAGATCACAATCACCAATGACAAGGGTGAGTTTTGAGCAGACTTCAAGCAGAGTCTCAAATGTAGTGTGCCACAGTTTCTGACTCCGCCATTTGCCTCCAGGTCGTCTCAGTAAGGAGGACATTGAACGCATGGTTCAGGAAGCTGAGAAGTACAAGGCTGAAGACGATGTCCAGCGTGACAAGGTATCTGCTAAGAATGGCCTGGAGTCATATGCTTTCAACATGAAGTCCACTGTGGAGGATGAAAAGCTTGCCGGTAAGATCAGTGACGACGACAAGCAGAAGATTCTGGACAAGTGCAACGAGGTCATCAGCTGGCTTGACAAGAACCAGGTAATTCTCATGACAAAAACAAACATTTCACATGTCATAAATGTTCTTGAATACTAAAATGTATTTTGTCTTGCAGACTGCTGAGAGGGATGAGTATGAACATCAACAGAAGGAGCTGGAGAAGGTGTGCAACCCCATCATCACTAAGCTGTACCAGAGTGCCGGTGGCATGCCTGGTGGTATGCCAGAGGGCATGCCTGGTGGCTTCCCTGGAGCCGGCGGTGCAGCTCCTGGTGGTGGTGGATCCTCTGGCCCAACCATTGAGGAGGTCGATTAAACATTCCATCACTTCGGCTGCTACTGAGATGTTTTCTAAGAAAGTAACCCTCTTATAGCACAAGTTACAACAAGCTAAAGAGTGCAATATAAAATAAAACCGGGTTCAGGGATCACATTTATTGCATTGTATGCGACAACTGGGAACAACTTGTATTTGGCACAGCTGAGCTGTGAGTTCATGTGTGTTAGTGTTTTGTATGAGATGTCACTGCCTTGACAATAAAAACAATCTTCTAACCCACACTGTCACTCTTGTGTGAAACTGGATAAAAAGCAAGTTGCTATAGCAGCTGCACTACTGCTTGGTTCGACTTGGCTTTTAGTTGAGGTTTGAATGTTGACACTTTTTGGACTGCAAAGATGGAGTCATGCAATGCAGGTATAATGAATGGGATTTTTCATTTGCAGTCAGTGAAGCCATTGTGTCCAGACACCACTGCTTGTAGTAAGTAATAGACGGATGTAAATTAACTGCAGCTTTTTGAAGCTAGTATTTGAAAGACAAGACAGGGTATGCAATAATTGTGTGTAACAACCGCTGCTACATCAACGAATGGCCCTACCGCACGAATACGCGGTACACATAACATAGCTGCATTCGTGGACCGGAGCCGCTATTAATTTTAAGAGTCATTAATCATTTTTAGTTGCACCTGTTTTTTCGGCTTTGACCATTCGTCTGCCACGAATGTTCACCCTTTTAAATGGTGTATTCGTCTGTGTGAGCCGTAGTTAAAAAGCCGGAGCTTTTATGAAGAGCACTTGAAGGCAGCACGTTTGCGTCGGCGTTTCCATGGTTGCACTGCTGTTGAGAGTCCTGACAGGAAAACAGGTCAGTATCTGAACGAGTTGACTTTTTTTACTCTGTTTAATTAACACGACACAACCCTGTGCTTCTGTCATTGTCACTGAAAATACAAAAAATGTAATTTCACGTGGTTTGAAGTTGAATTTCTTTGTTTTTGGCCCTACACGATAGCGTCGTTTGGCAAAATAAAACTAATGATAGCTGTAAAGCTAGCTGACAGATAGCTAACGTTAGCTTTTATGCTATTGTTATATTAAGCGATTGCAAAACATAGTAACGCGACTTTGGCCGTTTTCCTCCCCGTCATCTTCCAACGTGCAGTACAGTTACAGTATACGAAGTCTTATACGAAGAAAGAAAGATGATGTAATGTGTATTCCTTGAAAACAATTGGCATGAGTTTAGGGCTAACTATCCAATCAGTGATTTGTATTAGCCGTGCATCAGACACCTGTTCAGGGCGGACATTTTAAAATCCCACAATAGGAAAAACGCAGATGAAACGTTAAATAATGTAATGAATGATGGCGGAATTCCTTTTTAGTTGTTTCAGAAAACTTGAGTAGAACGTCGTTAATGTCATGAGTAACATGCTTTTCCTACTCGGACAAGTCAAAATGTCTGTTTCCAGCCTCAGTGTGTGAAGCATATTCCGGGTGACGTTTAGAAACTTGCTGCAGAAATGAAGCTGTAACGTTGTATCTCATCTGATGCTGGAAAGACCAGCTGCTGGGGCATTATAGTGTGTATAAAAGAGGAGCTAGTATTCTCTCACTTGAAACAATGTTGACGTCTTTACTCTAGACATTCAGCCACACAGGCAATAGAAAAAGAATCATCAGGTTAAAGCTGCAGTAGGTATTTTTTTTTAATAAAAATAACCTTTTGTCATATTTGCTCAATCTTTCACTATATCCTGACAGTAGTACACGAGACAGATAATCTATGGAAAAATGGGGTCCCTCTGGCTCCTCCTAGTGCTCCTAATGGCAGTTGCAAGAATCCATCAGCCCAAAGAAGCACAAAAAAGTCTATTTATATATATATATGTATATGTATATATATATATGTGTATATATATATATATATATATATATGTATATATAAGTCATATGGGATCTGATCTTTTCAATTCTGATTTGGGCCCATAGTGGTCAATATGTGACCTCAGTGTAAATCTTCATGTCAGAATTCATGTGACTTTTATGTCACTCTAGACTGACATACTTAATGTGGGTCTATTCACACTGGAATCTGACATGGACCACATTTAGAAGGTACTGCTAACAGCCAAACAAACAAACAAAGAGTTTGGGTTGTTTCTTTTTTTTTGAGGTTGTCAGAAAAAGGGTCATGGGTGTAAAGGTCCAGTGAGTAACATTTAGGAGGATCTATTGTCAGAAATGGAATATAATATTCATACGAACATTTTCATTAGTGTATACTCACCTGAAAGTTTTTGTTCCTCAGAATGAGCCTTTTATCTGCAGACACCGTGGGTCACCTTCCACGGAAATCGCCATTTTGATGTTTTTACACTAGCCCAGAAATATTAAATCTGCAACATGGTTGGGAGGATTACTTTAAAAATGTGATTCAATACAATTACTAATAACTTGTTAATAATGTTCAGTAACCTAGTCCAAGTATCACAATATTAAAGTGACATAACTTGATTACTTTGCGTTACTTTGATTACCTCAACATTAAATATGTAAATAAAGACAAGAGAAATAAAATGTCAAAAAGAAGTATTTTTATATTTGTATTATATAATATTATATTCTATTAGACAACAGAACAATGTAACTGGAGAAAATAAAATGGAAACAGAAAAAGAGTTTTAGCATCAACAATGTGAAAAACTGAACAAATTTGAATTTGATATTTGAACTGAACAAACTAATTTTAAAATTGTAATCCATCTAAATAATCTCCATTCTTACTAAATGTAACTGTAATAGATTATGGTTTCCTTTATTTTGTAACTAGGGTACATGTAATCCGTTTTTTGTCCTTCAGATCTAAGACCTGCGCTTTACCCAGACAGAAATTTGTAGTTCAAAGCCATGAATGCCCAAAATGCTTCAGCTCTTACAATCTGATGTTCATCTTAATAACTTAACTACTTGATAAATGTATGTTTTTATGTTTGTTGGTTGTAGTGATGGTAAGCGACCCCATATATGACCATCTTCAATCAGACTGTCCACATACAACATGGATAAAGGATTCAAACATGAAAAGATGCGTCAGGTGTTGAAGACTGAGCAAGAGAAGTGTCCTTCTCTGGGGCTCGCAGTTGTGGCCAACCAGTGGGACTCTGTGGAGTCGGACACAGAGAGCTTGGCCCAGGAGAGAGCTTACCAACAGCAGCTACAAATGTCTGTTGATCAAAACAAATACACACCGCCCCAAAAGGAGAATGCTGACAACTTACAGCATGCAGATGGAGAGAATGAAGATGCAAATGATGATGCAACTGAAGATCTTCAGGTTTATGATAGCCTAGAACAAATAGCACACCCTGAGGCCAGGAGGGACCCCACCCTGCTACAGACGGAATATTTGGATACACAGATAATGGAAGAAGAAGGAACAAGGTAAGTTACATATACTCTGTCTGACAAATAGCAACTAATTTAGTTTATTCAAAGTAACATTAGGGAATATACACTCCCAAGGTTGCCACGGGCCTTGAAAGTGCTTGGATATCCAGAGCAATAAAGAGGTCCTTAAAAGTGCTTAGACTCAGAGGTTGACCTCAGAGGTTTTTGATATCTTTTTTTTATCATCATTTTATGAGGAAAAAATGTAAAATTTAGGTTTTCAGCATATATGGCATGTTTTCCAAACTTTTTAAACAATATTTTGACAAAAGCCTATTACCAGATTTTAGTTATTGATAACAATAAAGCAAGAAACTTTAAATAAAAGACTTTATTTGTTGGGCCTGAAAAAAATTTCTACTGATATGCAAATTAGTGCAAGTAAATTTCCTACTTTAATGATTAAAAAAAATCTCATAGCACAAAATTTGGATTTGGGTCTTTATCTGTGGTTCCCAAACTTTTTCATTAAGGGAGCCCTTTCCTTTAATTGGGTAAACGGACAAGTGAGACAAAGAATAAAGGAACAAATAGTAAATGAGATGTGTAAAAGAAAGCAGGTGAAGAAGAAGAGGGACAAGAGGATGTCAGAAGAAAAGAGTTACCAGGGGTAGATTAAATAAAGTTCTGTAAGATGTGTATCCCACTAGGCTATTCTCTTAAGTAATGTAATATAATTTGAGTAAATTCTTCTGTTATATTCAGTTCAGAGCATTGAAGACCACATTTACTTAGCATTGTTGGGGATCCTTGATGTAGCTATGGCCTGAATGTTTGCGGTGTCCTTCAATCTAACAATAAACACAATTTCCTCAAACAGCATAATAAAAAAGGGTGACTTTGTCTTAAAGGAAGGCACCAGAAGCATTCTTACTTTTAGCATTTTTTTCTTAAAACAATGAAACTAAACAGCTGCTTCATTTCCAACACTGGGACTAGACTACTCATTTCACAGAAACAAGACTTTTTTACTTTCTTGATATTGATTTTTACAGTGCAGGCAGAGAACTGTATAAAACGTTCCTAAAAATATCAGGAAAAGTAATTTCTGGTCTTTCCTGCAGTTATTGTATTCACTGTTCAGGTTCATTGTACAGTTTATCAGTTGTTCCGTACTGTTATTGTTATGCACTGAATATGATGTGGAAAAGCCATAAAATGTGTCACAAAGCCAGTTTACTCAATGATAGAAAAAGGGCTCTGTTTAGGGAAAAAGGGTGGGAACTACTGGTTTAAGTGACTCAAGAATAGTATGACTAATTCTGATATAGAGTAATGCTGTTTGACCACTGGATGGCAGTAATACATCTTAGTGGAACAATTGCTAAGGGCTGAACCTGCAGTCATTATTTCTTGGTTAAAAAAGGGTCAAAATAACTATTCATGTTTTGTTACAACTCAGTTTCACATTAGGTGGTCATAGAGTGAGTGGGGTGAAAAAAATCTGACTGCTTGCATTACGTGTGTGGCCTTGTGTATCAATTATTCCATAAACATGTGGAATTATATAAGCAAATCTCCAGGATGAGATTTGTGCCTGACCTTGTTCAGTTTGCCAATTGAACTGGACAGTCACTTCCACTGTCTGTGACAAATTAATTAAAATTAAGCAGATAATAGTGCTGCGGAGATGAAATACGATGAGAATCACAACAGCAATCAAACCTTTCACTTTTAAACAGCACATGGTTGATAAAAGATAAATAGCCTTCATTCATCACTTAACAATGAAATGGTGTCAGTTATTTAATGAGATGCAGGCCCGATGGTACATTGTCGTGAGAATGGCCTAATTCAGGTGCTTTCAGAATAACGGCTTTCATTTGAGGGAAATTAGATTTTTGTTTTGTTTGGGCGGATCACAATAAGTGGTCACTCGTGGTCCGTTAACAAGCATCATTGTTGCGGTAAAGGAGATCTCTCTTTCTCTCTTTTGATGGAGCAGAGGCAGGCATCTGTGGCGAGGAACAACCCCACATCTGTTTTTGCACCCTCTTCGACTCACACTGTTGTTTCCCATCCACTTTCGTCCAGACAGCGCCTAATAGTCATTTCCCTCCAAAATAGAAAAGGGGCATTCTCAATTTTCCTGTCATTAACCTGTGCAGATTGATGCCCACCAAGTGTGGGTCCGCTTCCAAAGTTACATTGTTTCAGGGGAAAATGACCATGACATATTCTCACAAAAGGCTCCATTTCATAGAGCCAAGCAGTAGACACGGTCCTATTCCCATCATCATGTTCTCATAGTCCTCAAAGCATTTCCATTGCATAGTTTACAAACCCAACGGGCATTCCTCATTCAAGCAAAAGATTCCTATTTAAGCAAGTCCATTCATCCTTCTGCACTATATTTTACACCTATCTTACTCAAAGTCCTGCAGAAGGATATTTGAGCATCATCCTTATGACCAGTTCTTTCATTTTCCCATTCAGTGTTTGTCACAATATTTCATTGGCTTTTGTATTTAGGTGTCCGTATCTTGGGTGAGAAATAATAGGCTGTGGTGTTTTGCCAGTGTTAGAGGCATCACGCCCGGCTGCATGGAGCCTATAATGCATTCTCCAACTTGTTTGAGTCTGAGTCATTAGAGAGACATCCCTTACCCTTTTGGCCTCATCGAAGTGAAGGGCCCTACACCTTGGCAACCCCCCCACACCACCACCCCCCACACCCACACACACACACCCCTACGCACAGCATCATGGCAGGAGAATTAGGCTCCCCTCGTCCTCCCAGTAAGCACAACAAAGAGGCTCTCTGCTATTTATTTTAATGAGATCTTTTCATCACCATCAGAAAGAGCATTTTAGCCTGCAATTTTCAAGCCATTTCATAAGCTGAAAATTGCCGTTTGTGAACCATTCCCCCGCTAGTAGCTCTCAAATACACTCTCATTAGTGAGCCTGGAGGTGAAAATACGAAAATTATCTGTAAATACAGGCTCATAATCCCCCTCATCTGTTTCAATTTCAGAAGTCTGTGATAAGGCCTAGCTCTCTTTGTTTGAGGACATCATCATTCTAATAATGGTGTAATGCCTCTTGTGCCTTTGACCTCTCACTGCAGACGTATGTGGCATTCAGGGGTCTGTAAAATCTTTGGATATGGAAATGTCATTAATAAAGCTGCTTACTAACAATGAAATCATTTACTCATAATATGATTAAAACTCTACTATACATATATGGACATATTCTTCGATGATTCCATTTAGTTTCTCATCTCCATTAGAGCTATAACTATAGCTATAAAAAGAAGAAATTAGTCTCTGGCTAGTTGTATTGAGCATGTCTTTATTGCTGTTGTCTGTCCTTAACCTCACAGCCTGCTCTCTGATGATGCCTACTCTGACCTTCGATATGACCCCAACTGGAGGACCAACCTGAAGGGAGCTGGCCACTTCGATGAGAGTCCACAGGTGTCCGTCGAGGAATATTACCAAGTCCCTAAAGAGAAGTCTAGTCAGGCATGTGGTGGCAGGCAGGGACTGGTAATGAAAGCAGGATACAGATACATCGTCGACACAGGTTCAGCTGTTGTGGTGACTCCTCATATGGCCGGCAGTGAGTCTGAGCAACCATACCGCCTACACCCACAAAATGGTCAGACTTCCCACCACGACAACCATGCTTTACAATTCAGATCACCAGGGGGTGACCTTTCAAGGCCTTCCAGCATTTTCACTAAAAATGAAAGTGACAACACTTCACAGAGAGGATTCAAACAGATGTGTGAAAATAACTGTGACAATGCTGCTGAAAATATTAGCAGGGCTCCTGAGAGGATAGAATTTAAGACCCACTACCAGCAAGATCTGAGACACGCACAAGCAGGACCCACTCAAACAGAACACATAAGCACATCCACGTTGCTGAGTCCGAAGGTTTTGATGAACAAAAAGCTTGAAAGACTCACAGAGGACATAGTGGAACGTAATAAAATAACCCTGGGCCGCAACACGTCGAAATGTGGCTCCTATGTGACGGTGCATGCACTTAAGCAGGAGATTCCTCATAATGAGAATAAGGTGTGTATAGAATATAGAGTTTTCTCAACGAATAGCATCAGCTTATGGTCTTATCGATCTTTAAAATGTGACAGCAAACTCTCCAACAGCTCTGTAATAGTCACTCATAGTCCTCTCCTGAAAGAGGCTGCAATTACAGAAACAGACACCAGGAGCTGCACTAGCATTGATAATGATTCTTGGGCAGCTGAGCTATTATTACCCTTACATGACTTAAGGTTAAGTTTGAGTGGGGACAGACTACTCAAAATATTGGAATACAATATAAATTAATAGCTTTTAAAAAAATCCATTTTAAGTTTTTGAAACATGTTTTTGTGATCTGTTTGGTCTTACAGATCATTGTTTGGTGGTGAAGATAAATATACTGAATCTACTATATTTTTAAACTCTTAAACACTCTTAAACAGTTCTGGGGTTAGTTGGCTATTATTATATTTTCAAGAGATCTGTATTAATAATACAGATTTTATACAGTTTTTATACAGTTTTTTACACTGGAAATCTTATTCTAATTAGAAGGCATTATTAATAGGCAGTTGCTTGAATGCAGAAAACAAGCCTAGACTTTTTGTTTTTTTCATTCTGCATCAGCCAAGCTTATGCTCATTTAGTTATATTATTGGTATCTATATGCCTTTTATTGTTATCTCAGACAACAAACTAAGAGAATATCCTATGATGTTTGGTCTGACCCAGTCTGGAAAATTAATTTGGCAGAGGAGCATAGCTGTTTTCATCTGCCTTCTCCTCCACCATATGAAAAGGGCTATGTCTGGCTATGCAGTGCTTATTATGAGTTGATGTGTACAACAAGAACATCAGAGACGCATGGTTACCAATAGGCTCTTAGACATCCCTGCACCTGGCACAGTGGCATAATTGGTCGGGATGGCCCGCATTCCCCATTTGTCAGGCCACAAGACTGTTTGCTGGCTATAATACCCCAACCTTGTTCCCCCATCTGAGCCCCATCCCTCTACAATGTCTCATATCATCACCATTTACATAGTCAAGAGCCGTTAGCTTTGTGCAATGATAAACAGAGCCAGAGCCTTTCCCTCTCCTGAACCCTTGTGTTTTGTCATTTTCCCTCTGAATTCGCTTATTAGTTTTCCATTGCCCTGTCTCCCCAAAGACATGTCTTTCTTAATGGGGGACATAGGGCATAAAAGAAGGGGGCACCAATTTGCATGTAGTCTATTTCCTGTGTCATTGCAGGATTAATCTATGAATCGGGTATGTTATGAAAACAGCATAATATATCAACAAATCTTAAAGTCATTTTACAAACAGGCACCAAAATAAATTAAAATGTAAAAAGTGCAGTTCATTACTGATTAACATGCTTCAAGGGACAATCCACCCCAAAACAGAATTCACATATAGGAGGGTTGTATGAATGTAGACAGTTACGTATGACATATAAAACATAGGCAGGTTTAAAAAAAAAAGAAAAAAGAATTAATTGAGTAATTGAATAAAGACTGAATTAAGTGACACAAGGTAAATGTTGTTTAACTGTTAAATGCACAGTGAAATCAAATACACAACTAACTTCTGTTGAGTGTACAGAGGCACAGTTTCTAGTTGGTTCTGAAGACAGTATCTTTTGGAGATGTTTCTGGGTCAGATTGGAGTTTTGTTCTCTGGCCTCTTGTTTTGGTGCTTATTTTCACACACGCTAAATGAAATACGGAAGATCAAAGAAGTAACATATGTTATCTTCTACCTTCAGTATAAGGTTTTTGGAAAATGTAATATTAAAGGTCAGAGAGAGGGACATCTGAAAACAACTTTTCACAATTAGGATAACCACAAATCTCTTATCAGAAAGCTTTTTCTGCTTCCTCCCACCCTTCTTCGTCCGTAGCTCCTTGCAGAAGATAGCAACACTCCATGTACAAATCGCATCAGTTTCACAAATCAATATGAGTCCAGACAAGCCAGTTGTTACTAGGCCCTTTTAAAATACCCCATTTGGTTTTTTGAAGAGTGCGGCCATCTGAAGGCAACTTGTGATAATTAGACATGTTATTAAATGTACGCAATTTCCTAATGCAGCAAATGTTTAGCCCGGCCAAGTGGCAGAGTGGCGGTAGCAATGATTGGCTTCATCGGGGCTTGGGCCTCCTTTGATAAAGACAGAAGTAGCAGATCAATCTTCTGCTATTGCACTCACCCCTTAGAGTCCCTTCTCCTCTCGCAGGCCCTCACTTCAAAGCCAGGGGAACATAATGTACAATCTTTTAATAGCTTTAGACCAAAGCTCTGGGGAGCTCTCTGCCACTGTATACCCTGCCTCAGTCTAAACACCTAATCAAGATTACCTGGGCTGGCCACAATAGCAGCTAAATGCAATTCAAGATCCACAGATCCTTTGAAGTCTTCATTGCGAAAAGCAGATGTTTCCCGGGTACAGGAGGTAATACAGCTAGCCGCAATTGCCAGACTTTGTTGTGACATCGTCTTGCAGAGAAGCAATTACGGGCCTTCCAATTTAGTAGAAAAGATATTACACAGCTTACCATGCTCGAAATGCAATACAGCCATGATCATTTGCTCCAACTGATTGGGATGTTTATAATGGGTGACAAAAGGCAATGGCAGGGGGAATGGGTAAAGGTGAGAGGCACAAAGTGTGTGAGTGAGTACACTGCTGGACATGCAGTAGTCACTGACGCCTGCTCCTGATCTTCAATCAACTGCTGTCTCCTCATTGATCGGCTGAAACAGCACCCAAAAGCTACAAGTCTGTGTCATTTAAAAAAAAATCCCTTATTTGGTTCAGTTAATTACCAAAAGCATAAAAAATTGCTTGAAAGCTACAGCCGAAGGATCATGCAGCTTACATATCGAAGCAGCATAAGGTCTAGGTGGTTTTTCTAACATAATAGTGCCATCTCAGCCTATTAGATTCAATCACAAACATACTTATTGACGGGTGTGTTACAACTGGATCCACTCATTCCTTGTGACCTTCACCTATTCAAGCTCACAGAATTAGTGGCATTCAGCGGAAAAAGTCTTCAGTCCGTCAATATCATCGATCCACTCAGATGGTCCTCTGCCGCCAAGGGGAGTCCTGAAGTTAACTAAATGATTTTCATTACAGCATTAACAGAACATATTTCCATGCCACAAACAGTTACATTAGGAACAGCTGAACCAATATATAGATGTAATACGATGTGGTCGAAGAAGACAGGCATTGATAGAAATGGATGCAGTATTGATACCCCGAGTAGGTGCTGTTGTGTAGGTTTTAATGGGCTTCAGTAAAGGCTTCACTTCCAGCGTATTCACAGAAGAAATATAAAGAACTTTTGTTTCAACATTCTTCTGTATCAGCTTGTTGCTTTCTCTTTATCTGTCTAAAGGTGCATGAAACTCTACAGACAGCCAGCACAGAAAGTCATGAGGACAGTTCAGACCCCAAGCTGAGATGGCTCCAGAAATCACAACAGTTGAGGGTAAGACATCCCTATTCTTTTCACATGTCAACCTAAACAATAATGTGTAAATGTCTAGCAGCATTGGAAGCTTAGGAAATTTGATTGCCCAAGTTTACAGCAAGGGCTACCTAGCTGCTGCACAGTAGTGCCACTATCACACTGGCTTTTAATTTCCTTCAGGGAGTGTGGGGCTCACCAGAGATGACAAAAAACATTACAAAAGAAGAGAAGAAACATCATTATTTTGAGCACTTGAGTAGCCACCTCAACGCTGCCAAGCAGAGGGAGTGTGAATATTTTCCCACTGGAATGGGGAAAGCTGCTGTTTGCTAAATCAGAGGCATTAGATGCATGAGACACCGGCTCGTAGACCACCCACTCAATAATTTGGTGAGATCATGCAAAGAAGAGCGCCAGCCCTTTCTTACACTCGGGAAAGAATTGCGCCCCTTTTTTAGAGCTCATGTTTGTCTGTTGTTGATTTTGTGGTGTAAACGGGTGGATTTAGAGCTGATGCTTTGTGCTCCACACCACCTTCAGAAATAAGAGTTAGCATATCTCACAGAAATGCAGAGGAGTTTTAGACACAATGGCAAAATTAGACCCATATTCATAGTTTTTTTTACTGGCATTAAAAACCCAGTATTCCAGTTGGGTATGATCGTGACAACATCTGTTAATACGTGCCTAGTGTCTGTCTGGATGTGGATGTTTGTGCTTCCTCTGAGATTCTACATCAATGAAAAAAGAATGTTATCCTCAAACTGTTTATCCTATTCTAACCCCAGGTCACCCAGATCAGCAAAGGGAAGAAAGCCCAGAGGAAAGAATCCCCAAACCCCCCTCGACAGCAACAGCCCCCTGCCCCGGGGGTCAGAGCTGAGTGGGGAGACAGTCTGAGCTCCCCATTAGCAAGACCAGCCGCTGTAATACAGCAGCCGAAACCTCAGATGACGACTTCATCACAACCTTTGCCCCCCACTATTCACCTCAACATCAACCTTAACACTTCATCCCATCTCCTTCCGTTACTCCAGCAGGGGGGCCAGGATGCCGCCATCAATGTAGCATCTCTTCACGGCTGTCCTCACTGGAGCCCTGCATCTGAAGTTGAACTTGCATTTTCCCCTGGATACCAACAAACAAATCCAGCAAAGTCCTCCCAGATGTTTAGGACAGGCGTAAATGTACAACTTCACCACCGAAACTTGGAGAGTAGCCCTGAACATTGGAAAAGGTGAACCATTTATACTGCTTTGTTTTTTTTATTGACCAGAGATGAGAATTACATTTTTAGGATCTCATTGGGATGACTGGATCACCGCCTCACGTAATTAGAACAAACAGAGCATATAAGGTGGAACAAAAAAAAAAAAAGAATTGGATACACAACTGCAGGGATACTCAACAACGAACAGAATATTTACCAGATACATCGGATTGTTGATGTGGCAGAATAAGACAACTACGAAGTCGTAATATTCTCTTTTCTTGCAGTGCTAGCAGAAGGGAACGTAGCATGTTTGACTTGTGATGACACCTGATATCCATTTGGTAAATTAAACAGTTGTTTAGGGTTGGTATGAGTTGGCAAAATGAAGACAAATTCATCTGTCCATTTTTCATTGAAATGCCTGTTTTCATTGTTAACCTTTGGATGTTTGCTGCCCTCACTCACCTGTGAGGCAAATCCAGTCACTGCAGCAGGTCAAGTGTGAGCGTACCTTTCGCAGATAGTGTCACTGCCTTTGCACACTGCACAGATCACTTCCCAAGTAACAACAAATAAACAAAAAACAACAAAAAAAACAACCGGCACCCTATCTGGCCCATGGTTCTTAAAGGTCCAGTCTGTAACCATAAGGAGGATCTACTGGCGGAAATGTAATATTCATAGGTATGTTTTCATTAGTGTTTAATCACCTTTTAGAATGAGCTGTTTTTATCTACAGATGATGCAGTCACCTTCCATGGAGTCCGCCATGTTTCTACAGTAGGCCAGAACAGACAAACCAAACACTGGCTCTAGATAGGGACGTTCACATTTTTGCACATTTCCTACACACTGGACCTTTAGGTTGAGTATCACTGCATTAGAGCAATCACAACATACCACTCTCCCTCTCCATCTCTCTCTCTCTCTCTCTCTTACTGGTTGAGGCAGACAGCCACCCACCTAGAGCCGGGGTCTGTCCGAGGTTTCTGTCTCTTAAAAAGGCGGTTTTTCCTTGCCGCCGTCGCTAAGGTCTTGCTCATGGTGGGAACTGTTGGGTAAATAATTTGATAAGGAGTTCGGTCTAGACCTGCTCTATTTGAAAAGGGTCCTGAGATAACTTTTGTTATGAATTGGCGCTATACAAATAAAATTTAATTGAAAAATTTAATTGAAATAATGACATGTTACAGCATTCTTGTGGCATGTGTCAAATGACAGCACTAACTCTGAGACAGAGAAAATGAGGTGAAAAGTATGTCTGATACACTATATAAAAATGAATATAAAATATCGGCAATGTAGAATATAATGAACTTTTTTGCCTGCTTATCTATTATCATGGGACCCCTCATTTTTTGTGCACCAATAATTGTGTGTTTTAGGACAACTGCCATGAAGTGGCCATTATCCTGTGAAGAGGAGCACCAGAAATGGAGTCCAAATGACGTTCACACAAAGCAATTTCCACAAAACCTCCCCAGGACGCCCACCACCACTTCGTCTCTGGGTTCAGGCTCCTACCCAGTTCTGCCTCCTATAGGAAACTCAATGACAGGGAAAGAGCCGGAGCTGAGTCCCGATCAGAGTGCGAGCACTGCCTACGTCATCCATAGAAGCAGTTCTGATGGCTACCTGGTACAGATGGAGAAACAGAAGCAGCTGAGGGCAAGACTCACCTACAAGGTTGGTGTGTCTCTGAGCTTCATTTGTGTCCTTAATAGAGGGATACTGAATCTTTCTTCTGTCGTAGAACAGTAATATTTTTGTTTAATCAGTTTATTATTGTACCTCTGTATGCCTGCCATCTAATCTGGGATGTCACACAGATAAAAAAAAAAAAAGCCTCCATCTGGGTGTTTGTTTGATAAGCATGCATTTTTAAACTGTGTTCAAGGACCAAAAAACTCACTCAACACATACTGAATAATCGCATTCAAGTTGGAAAAATAAGAACTCATTATGCAGTTTCAGCTAACAAAAGTGACACATGAATTCTTCAGCTGAGTGGCATTCCCCTTTAATCCCCACGTACACGAGAGGTTACACAAATAAATGCCCCTTTGAAGTCCCAGATAATCCCCTCAGCTGTCTCCATGCAGGGACTGCTTAATCCAGCAGGAGTGTTCTGGTGACTAAGGGCACAAAACATCAGGTTAATTGTCTAGCTCCACTAAGATACACTTAATTGCTATAAGATGATGACTATATAAACCACAGGCTCTGAAAAGCCATTTGAAGATGTGTTAGAGGATAAGGTGATTAGAAGGGAGAGAGTCTGTGAGGCGCAGGGCCACTAAAGATGCCCATTTGCATTTAATGATTTGGCTTTTGTTGTTTTGTTTTTTCTCCCTTTCTGGTTTGTCAGGCTGAGCTGTGCAGGTGGGTCCTGAGTAGAAAGTGACTCAGCCATCCTGCCTTTTCAGTGGTAGTTACATAGACAGTCTAGTCATATTAGGATTGTAATGCTGTAGCTTTAGAAACTAAAGTCAAACTTAATTCTGGTTAACATTTCCAGTCAAAAAGCAGTGTTTCTTCTTGTCCCTACAGTGTGCTGTCTGAATGCTGTCTGTGCAGAGTTTGACACTAGAAGGATGTTTTCACATTCATCTGCTGAAAGTGGAAAGTTTCTCTGTGCTCATTGAAAATGATTTTAAGGGGCGGGGCCTACCAGCATGATTTGTGACATCACAAATAGTTTGGAAGTCAGTCCTGGTCCAGTATCAACTTGTACAGTGTGATGTAGAAACTTGAAGCCACCAGTGCACATCCACTGAGAATGGACTTTACAGTGAAGTAGGAGACATCTTGTGTCCAGCAGCAAAACTTTAGAAATGAACAACATTTGTATATTCAGAGAATTTAGAATGAGGTAGGGGTAGATGAGTTTTATTGTTTCAAGCAGTTTATTGTATATATGTCTTAATATATGACTGGAGGAGATCTTTAAATGCAAGTACCTGTGACAGAAATGCTTCATGTTGTACTTTTTAAGTTTCACTGGTGGAACTATCCCCAGTATTGGTGCAAACAAACTTAAAAATACTGATATTTTTCCAGGGTGCGGGGGGATTTTGAGATGTGTTTAAAATTGTGTGAAGTTTACGTTACTTGTATACAGTTAAATTATTGCTTGCCTTTTTATTGTGTTTTTGGGGAAAAATTGGATTGATCGTGGTGCAACAACTACCAAAGGAAACCGACATGGAACTAATACCGATTTCACTTCATTCCTTCATCAGAATGCCAGTTGCAGGCAAACAGGAAATTCAAGCATGAACAAAGACAGATGGATTATATGTGTATTCAGGTTCACATTTCAAAAGAGCTAGTTCAAAGTTCAGTTCCCGCAGGTTAAAATGAACTGGTTTACCTTCATAGTTCCCAATTTTTAACTAATTTCACAGTCCCAAAAACTAGTTTACATTCAAAACTGGTCCTTTACAAAATGCTTTGAGTTTCACTTGGGTGGAGGAACTTTACGGCTGTTGGCTCCTGGTCTAACCCTTTGGTAATGATTTCTTGTGATCATCATTCACTCGCAGATATTTCCCAAGACTGGTCGGAAGCTTTAACTCTATGTTGTTTTCAATTCGTTGCCTACGTGGCTGACGTTCGGACTTACTTTTTAACCCCTTCAGACCCTGTGTCCATTACAATGGACGTCACTTGACAGGGGCTTCTTTTTTACTTTTTGCAACATTTAACAGACAAAAAATAGGTATGATGTTGTCATATGATGTTGGTATTTTAAGAATTGTTTGGACCCGATGTCCATTGAAATGGACAAGAAAAATAACAATTAAAGGGTTTTGATTAAAAACATTTTTTTTATTGATTCTCATTTCTGGTTGCATTAAGGATGGGAAAAAGTCATTATTATATTTTTCACAACCTTGGAACATAAGGCGGGTCTGAAGGGGCTACGACCCACCAGGCGCTATTAAACACAGGGGTGACCAATAGCTATGTTTACATAGAGCCCAACATTCCGATTGTAATCAGTTTAAAAGCCCAAACACAATAAAAATCTGAATAAAAGGCTCAAACTGATTGAAATTTTAATTGGCTGCAGAGGGGCAGTTTACATGTTACAAATTTTTCTTTTGATCGGTTTATGAAAAGGTTTAAACAATTACACCTGATAACGTTCTGGCTGTGTTCTTTTTGCGCATGTCCTCCACCTTGAAGTAAATGCATAGGGACGTTGGAATTGGCAGCATCCAAGCTGTGGAGAGTTTGTTTTTGATACAAACTCTTAAAGAACTGAACATTATTGGACGTATAGATGGCAGAAAAATAAGAAATAACAACCTATTAAAAAAAATGAAAAGATTAATGAACATGGGGTAAGTGTTCAACAGATTTTGACAACATTATGCTGATTAAACACGTGCCACAGAGCTATTGTTGAATAGGTTGGTGCTTCATATGTAAACACCAGACTGTAATGCTCACATCCGATGTCAACGGTTGACCCACAATCTTTATTCAGAGTGATTTTAAATTAGATGGAAAACCTAAATCTAACCAGCCAATGATACTAATTAAGGTTCCGTTCAATTCAGGTGAACAGAGTCAGGATGCTGCTGTTGTGCATGTTGGCTCACTGGAGAGGCTCTCTACACTAAATGGAACATAACCTTAATTAGTATCATTGGTAATACCTTTACCCTGCTATTTTATGTCAAAATGTCTGCTGTGAGAAAGGGGGACTGTTTGCATGAAAATGTGGAACTAGCCACGCTGTTGCGTTCCAGGTGCCATAAAACAGTGTGTGTCGTTTACTCTCGTGGCAGCTCACCAGTGTTTATCACTTTCAGACGTATGTGTTCATGCACAACACTGAATTACATTAATATGAAAAAACTAGTGCTGTCAGTTAATGCGTTATTAACGGCGTTAACGCAAACCCATTTTAACAGCGTCAATTTTTTTTATCATGAATTTAAGGTTCTTTTTGGCCTAGCACACTTTGTAGTTTTTTTCACATGCTGTTGCAACAACTAGTAACGTTAGAAAAACTACAACACCAAACCGGATCTAGTAAGACCGGAAACAAAACAACAGGCACGCCGCACACACTTGTTTAAGAGTAGTAGACGTTACGTTTTGAGTGGATGGCGCGCGAGACGCCGAAATGGATGCCAATAATATTCTGAATAAAAAAAGTTGCCAAATGGTTCCATTGACAAGACCAAAGTGATCTGTGTGTTTTGTTTTGTCGTTGTGAACTGAGCTATCATCACAGCATGTCCAGTCGGAAATACCACTTGATGGCCAAGCACACAGCTGATGCAAATTCTCTGCCCCCTCGTCAAAGCCAGGCGACAACAGATGATTTTTCAATAAAAACAACATTTGCACAAAGCAAGCCGATCCACTTTTCCATGTTGATAAGAGCATTAAAATGAGAAAAAATAATGAGACAAAAAGAAATCAAGGGACATTTAAAATAGATAAAAATGTGCAATTAATTGCGAGTTAACTATGACATTAATGCGATTAATCGCAATTAAATATTTAAATCATTTGACAGCACTAGAAAAAGCAATACTTTTATTGGGAAGTGCAATGTCCTATATACCTTTTATACCAGTTAACAACCATCAATTGAGTTAGATGAACCCAAGAAAAGCTAGAAAGTATGATTAAGTGCTTGGAGTTGTATTTACACTGGAGCCCTCACATAGTCCTTCTGTGGTGCCCACCACTCCTCACCCCTTGACCTCGCATCTCTCCACCATGTTAGCCATCATGTCTGATGAGATTACAGGCTCAATTTGTAAAGCATTCTGGTTGCAGTGCCTGGGTATGAAAGCAGATGAGCGTGACTTAGGAGTTGCAGAGAGAGGGAAGAGGGCTTGGAAAGAAAGGTACCCTGTTGTGTCCACGGCCAATGGCTAAAGCAAACTGAAATCCTCCTTCCAAAAAGCAACCAGTACAATCTGGAATGATTAGCTCCCTTTTGTCTGGGGCAGCTTGTGGATCGCATGCACCCATGGTCACACACACACATCACCAGCACCTGCAAAGGAAGGGGTATACAGTACATCTCTTTGTGCCTCTGCCCGTATTACTTGTATAACCGCAACTTCAGCTCACCATGAATGTCCCTGAAAAAATTACTTCAGCATCATATCAGAGCCTAATAAGGAAACATTGCTGTATGGTACCAAGGCAAAATCCTTTAAAAGTTCATACCATTTGTAGTCTTTTGTCAATTGATTTTTTAAATATATATATATAAAAAAAACACAAACAAATGTAAAGTACTAATAGATTTCTGTTTTTTTTTTGACTAAATTGGATAGTCAGTTCAACTTCTTGATGCCATCTAAGTGATATACTTTATGGATGTTCCATATTCTATTTATGCAATAACAGTACAGAACAACTGATAAACTGTACATTTAACCCAAATAGTGAACACAATAATAATAGCAGGAAGTTTGTGTAAATTGAGCCATTTGGATTCATTTTGAGCAGATTATTTCCTGTGAATATTGCATCAGAGAAGAGTTTCCCTGATATCTTTAGGAACTTTTTATGCAAGTCTCTGTATTATATATTTGTAAAACTTTTAACAATCACTCATACTTAATAGGTTACCTTTATTTCTTTTAAATTCTGTGTTTTATTGTCATTGCTCTATTAGCTTTTTGGTTGTTTTAAGTGTGTCCTTTTCTAATGTAAAGGCTCAGCGAATATAGCTTGTGTTCAGGTCTTCACTGTGTTTTTTGAAGTTTATATCTTGGATGTACTGCAAGGAGTTTTTAGTTGTGTGAAACAGTCTCAATTTAATACTGATCCTTCTATATGACCTACAGAAACAAACAAGACCATCAGTGAGAAGATTGGCTTTTTCTATATAGTTATTGTAAATGCTTGCCATCGTGTCGGATTCAGTCATCAGACGAAACGAGGTGTTGGGGAAACCGCTTTTGTCCTCAGGGCCCACCAGAATCAACACATAATAAACTCATCCTACACTTGACTGGTAGCCAATGCAGGGTGAGATTCTCTCTTCCTTGTACCTGGTAGTAGTTGAGCAGCCACATTCTGCACCAGCTGCCACCGAGACATGAATGACTGACTAATTCACAAAGAGCATTGCAGTAATCCAATCGAGTGCAAAGTGAGGCATTTGTGACAATCTTCAGGTCATTTAAAGGGAAGAACGGTTTGAATTTGGCAATATTGCTCAACAGCAGTGTTAATTTGCTTATCAAATTTTAAAGCTTCATTTAAGAAGACACCAAGATTTCTGGCATGGGCATAAAGGTTAGGTTAAGCGCCAGGTGCCATTGGTCCCATCTCAACCCATCTCAACACGGATTGCAATGGTATTGAGTGAAATGGTGGTGATTATGATGGTGCTAGAGGAATTGTCAGAGGATCACCAAAATATATCCTCTGGGCACTGTGGATACTTCATGGCAATCCATCCAATAGCTGTTGACACATGTCACTGAAAAATGATTATGTCAGGGCATCATCCCATCATCCTCTGGGGACATTGAATGTCTATACCAAATGTCTGTGTCAAGAACAGTCCAATAGTTATTTCAGTCTGGACCAACTGACAGATGTTGGATGGACTGACAGACCAACATTGCCATTAGTGGAGCCACATCACTAGTGTGGTTTAAAACATGTGTTCGGCCGAGCATGAATTAGAATCAAGCTCCATCATGTCAAAAATGTCCAAACTAGATGCATGTAAGGTCATAGTGCCCCATTTGATCAGATTTTGTCCCAAAGAATGCCATCTGAGGCTTTTATTTTTGTCTGATATTTCTCCAAACACAGCGTCTATATTGTAGTTGGGGATACAATAGTGTGCCTCTTCCACATACAGTATATGAGCAGTAGTGAAAATCTTCCTCAAATTACTGAGCACTTTCTGGCACTTATTTATAGCGCAGAGGAGTCCAAAATAATGTTTGATTTATCAGTGTTTTTGTTTGTTTCTGCAAGCTAGTGAGACAGCCAAACAATAAGGATGGAGTGTTACAAAACGTTTGGTGAAGACAGTGTCACTCACATTGAGGCTCTGTCACGCCATGTCGTCTGTCAAGCATTTGTCTGTGTCATTTGGTGTAATATTAGTGACTTTTTTTCTCAATGCACCATTTTAACCCATCGACAGACATCAAAGTGGATAAAAATTGCAGTCGGGAGTTTATTGTTTGTGCCGTGGTGCCATTTTGCCAGCCGTCCAAACAAATAGAGCAACAAATGTCAGCTTCAAATTAATATATCAAAATGTCAATCTCTCTCTTTCTCTCTCTCTCTCTCTCTCTCTCTCTCTCTCTCTCTCTCTCTCTCTCTCTCTCTCTCTCTCTTCCAGGCATACAGTCTTAAAGACTACAAGCAGCTGAAGTCTGATATAAATCTGCGAGGCCTGGGTCCAGACTACAGTGTCATTGAAAAGACAGTAAGTTCTGACCTGCGATTGCAATGTCAGTGTCATCAGCAGAAATTGTCCCTGACCTACCAGTGTCCTTCCGCATTGGCCTTATTTCACAGACCCAGAAGCTCCATCCATTATTTATTATACAGTCTATGCTTGAAACGCAATGAATGGTAAGTGTGGAAATTAGTGATCCTGTGTACCATTAGGTGGGTTCATTTATCCAGAAAGTGCAAAGATAAATTAAGATGGATTTGGATAACACAGCGAGCAGGCCTGTCATTTGATCCACAGGGCTGTGAATTGTGGGCTATCTATGAGTATAATTTGGTTATACTGCTCTCTGTTGGGTCTCTGTAATTAATGTTAAAGAGTTCGGTCTAGACCTGCTCTATTTGAAAAGTGTCCTGAGATAACTTCTGTTATGAATTGGCGCTATACAAATAAAATTGAATTGAATTGAATTGAATTGTTTCGAGGGTGGTACAGTTGTTCAGACGTGGTTGTGTTTTTCCCTGAAAAAGCTCAAAACAGAAAGCTAAAACAAACTGTAGTATTGTTTGGAGAGAGAGAGAGAGAGAGAGAGAGAGAGAGAGAGAGAGAGAGAGAGAGAGAACAAAGTGGAGTCACTCTTTGTCTCCACTGGGCAGAGACAAGCTAAACTCTGCCCCTGTGGCTTCCATATCAACTGTCCAGTATATATTTTTACGTGCATTTATCCATCTTATGCAAGCTTTTCATAAATATGATGCCGAAATCCATCTGTAGGTTGCAGTATGCACTAGTATCATTGTGTATCCACTGAGCCTCTTCCAATTGTCCTAGTTTATCATTAAAAGGCTCCCGTGCTGTTCCACCGATAAAATTGCATTTACAAAGCAAATGAGAGTACCTCTAAGAAGTTAAGTGCTCTTTGTGCTTTGATATATCTTTTGTTAATCCCCCAGTTGTAAAAAGTGAGCATGTTTGGCCAATTTACACTAGATTGAGCCCTGTGCATCTCCAGGGCCAAGCCTATTAGTGAATGATATGTGTAAATGTTGATAGGCCCGCTGAATGGCTCGCTGTGTTTGGGTTTTTTAGGCTGTGTGGAGAGGCTCTGCCGAGGGGGATAGACAAAGAGAAGGGCCTTAAGGGAGAAATGGTTCAGTTAATTAAACCCCTTTTATATTCTGTTTCTCTCTCTCTCTCTCTCTCTCTCTCTCTCTCTCTCTCCTCTCTCTCGCTCCCTGTCTCACTCTTTCACCACCATCATGCTGAGAAAATGAAACGACAGAGGCTGTATTCAAATGTGATCCGCGAGCAGAACAAAAAGATAAATAGGATTCCCTTTCTACCGGCCAAGGACCCGGAAGGCAGTGACAAGAAAGTTCCCAGGATGAAGGTGTGTGTGTTTGTGTGTGAAACCTTGCACATGTCTCTTTCAGAATGTGTGCTTGTGGTTGTTTGAGACAAGTTGCGACTAAACAATGACAAAGAGTGTAGCCTCATGGTACCAACCTGCAACCTGTCTGACAAAGCCTTATCTAGGGCATGCTGTTCACTAAGCATGGCATTGTTTATCCTGGATAACTGGTTTCACACAGCTGGTTTGCAAATTGGGTTGTAATGATACACTCACAACTCACAATTAAGTACAATTCACAATACTGGGTTCACAATATAATCTTTTAACGATTTTTATAACAAAATGAGATTAAAGACAAATTATGACTGAGAAAGATTGCTGTATTTCTCAGACAAAAATGTACAACATGTGTTTTCTCTTGCATATATTATCTTTAAAAGAAAGGCGGCTGTGGCCCCGGCTCCTCCTGCCACAAGTATCCTTGAGGAAGATACTGAACCCCGAATTGCTCCCGATGCCGTGCATCGGTGTGTGAATGTGTATGAATGAGTTAGATTCTGTTTGATGGACTTTGCCATCGCTGAGTGAATGTGTGTGAAAGGGTGAATGTGGCATGTAGTGTAAAAGCGCTTTGAGTGGTCGGAAGACTAGAAAGGTGCTATACAAGTACAGGTCCGTTTACTGTTACCATTTAAATTATAGAATCTTATATTATATTTCTGAGGTAGGGTACAAACTACATTTGTACATACAAAACAATGCATATTTCCTTATCTTTGTAGAAGAGAAACAGAAAATATAACCATTGTCAACTTTAGAAAAGGGCCTCATACCTCTGCCATTTGTCTGACGGTGCTTTCTCAATTTCTAAGTCTATAAATAAGAAACAGGTAGCAAATTGACCTTTTTTAGAGTTAAGCGATTAGACTAATATATCAGCTATTGGTAGGGATGTAAGTAGATAGAGCCCTCTGCTGTTTAAAAAGACTATCATAATTTATTTTTTTATCTCACATATTTGAACGTTCACATATTTATATTGCGATGTAACTGTCTTGCAATATATGGTCTTATGACAAGCATTTATTATATTTGTGATACTATGTATTATCATGGCAAACCAAGATTGAGCATGATGCTCTTTATTAGGCTTCTGTTCACTTTGCCATAAATGTTAGTTTCTGTCCAGATCCTGTAGGAGTGATGTTATTTTCCAGACAGTTGATTGGTTAGTAGTAGGCTGTTTACACATTTTGATTCGATCTTCTAAACTCCACTCACTCCATGCACAGGTTAGCCAGGCAGCATAGGTTACTATAGGTAAGCTCACTAGCCTGCTAACCTCACTGTGCAGGACAGGACTTTCATGTGAATTTTATAAAACAGTTACGCAGTCAGCGAGGGAGGATTATAGTAAAGTTATACAACAATAGCATGTACCTTGAGGAGTGCATTAGAGAAACACAACCATGACACAGTGTCACTGTGGATACATGTTTTACACATATATCTGAAGAACCATTTTTGACTGCAGTAAATTTGACTGCTGTAATTAGTGAGTTCATTAATATACGTTCATCTCTCTCTTTTTCAATCTTAGGCCTTGGAATATGCCAAGACCATAGCCAAACCCCTTGTACCATCTCAACCAAAACAGAGACAGAAACACCCGTCCGAAGGCTTCACCGAGCACGCTTCTTACTTGGAGGGCTTGGACGTGTCCCAGCCAGCCACCCTGGAAGCCCTTAGAAAACGACATGAAGAAGAAAAGCAGGCTGTGGCTCTCTTCAGAAAAGTACATGCTGTCTGAGGCAAGGTGCAGGTCACGTCAATAGTCCATGGAACCCTGGCTCTCATACATATTTGTACTCCCAAGATTTGGGACACAACATGCTTCCCAATTAAATATGCTAGGCCTAGTGTTACATCCACAGATCATTACATTTTACATTTGTTTTCAAAATATGTATGAAAAGATAGCTAATGGTTATATCTGTACACAGTATAGCCTGTATAGCCTTTGACATTGTGTGTCACCAGATCAGATTTGAGAAGGAATGCACTGGATGGACTGTACAGGGTGCTGTTCTCAGCACATAAAGTCCTAAAGTTTGTGCTTATGGTAGATGATGAAAGTCAGATGATAATATAACACAAACAACATGGTGGTACCCTACATTAATATCATCAAGGTGAACTACTAACAATACATTTAAACATACACACACACACACACACACACACACACACACACACACACACACACACACACACACACACCCCGCCGTAACCTTTATCTTATCCTGAACAGTAAAGATTAGAACCTGTGTATGCAATGTAGATTAAGTGCATTAAATAGAAATTTAGCAGTTGCACTTATATGTAATATTTTATATGCAAATGATCAGATATAACTGTATGTATGTTTGTCCCTACTCAATATAGACAGATATTAAATAGTGTCTCAGATTTTGTGTTATCGGCAAGGAAGAGATAAACGTCACAAGACCTACTGATCTTACTCATGAAAGTGATGAAGTGGTAGTAGTATGTGACAGTGACACTGAGCAATCATAGAATCACCAACAGCACTTTTTCATTTTCATTATACGATCCAGTTCCAACTATCCCGGACTGCTGCTTAATCCACTCTCTTCTTTACGGCAGCGGCAGGTCATTTCCTTATTATTATATATCAGTTTGTCTCCTCTCAATCAAACGTTTATAAACTTTAGCTCTATGTTCTTTATGTAGTTGAGTTGTGTTCTTCCATTATCCCAAATGTTTCCAACAATGTTCAAACTCAGAGAAACCTGTCATTCAGGTAACGCTGAGTTTCACCAGTCGCCTGTCAATGGCGTCATATCCCCTTTGTGCCTGCGTCAGCGTTGTGGTTGTCTGTCAGAAGCTGTGATACATTGACTGTTTATCCAGTCTGAAGCCACATTTTTACCATCCACTGTTTAGATCTTGGTGCCTTTTAGCTCGCAGCCCCTCCGGGATGTCCTTTGTCTTTTCAACAGTGTGGGAGAAACAGTGATTTTTAAGGTAGAAGTTCAAATCAGTGGGTCTGTTTGTTTTGGAGAGGAGGAGACCTCTGTAGATAATTGGGTGAAGACAACAACTCCCATGATCCCACGCTACTTCACAACTTTCCAAAACTTTGTCTTTTGTTATTGTTTGGATTTGAGAGAAGCCCTAGCAGCAGGAATTACATACTGTTTAAAATGTCTTAAATGTGATGGTCGTAAGAATTGATTGGATCAATGAAGTTAACGTTACTTGTATGAAGTTGTAATTTTCATTCTCGCTTTTAAATGTGTTTTTGGGGAAAATTAGCACTGATCATGCTGTAACAACTAGAGTATGAAACTAACATGGAACAAACACCGGTTTTCCTTCATATCCTTTGTACTTTGTCTTAAATTACATTCATAATGGTCTTAAAAAGTCTTAAATTGAACCTGTTGAAACCTGCAGAAACCCTGTCTCACCACATTACACACTAATCCACACACTTGTCGTTGTGTGTCAGATTAAATTTCTTTCCTCGATGTAGGAAATCCTGCTCAAATGACAGATGACAGATTTGTAGCCATGTTCTTAGTAGTAACTCCTCCCCAACACAAAACACTCTCAAGCAGCTCATTTTACTAATTGAACCCTCAGATCATTATCAAAGCACGATTTACCTCTGTGCAATATTTTAATTAGATTATAGTCTCTATTTAACCCATCATGGACTCTTTGAAGCTCTGTGTTTTTAGTGTTAAGTCCTCAGATGCACGGTTGGAAACAAATGGCCGAGCCCTTTTTAATTTAATGAGAAACCCTGCCTATCCAGATTGAGTCTCTTTGCATCTTTTTTAGGTCCCACCTACTCGTTTTTTGCCATTGAAATCCAGTTAATTGAAGGAGTCTTTCACCGCTATACATGAAGGGGGCCAAATTAGCATCCCTTTCTGCCCATTGGGAAGCTAAGGCAGACGTGGATGCTTTGATGTGAGAAGCACGCTTTCAGTAGGCGGCAGGCTTCCTGAAAATGAGCTGATGGCCCTGCTATTAGGGCCAAATGCAGATGCGTCCATGTGTTGCAAAACGCTTAATCTTTTAATTGATCACCTTCTGCATGGCCTATTCTCCACATAGTTTTTCTCCCCCGCTGCCTGATGATCAGAATCACATTTTGATGATGACATGAATTGCTTTTCGAAAGGCAGGAAACCCTGTATGAAATACAAATGCCCAGTAGGAGATGCATGTGGTAAAACAATTTAATACATGTAAGAAGATTCTAAAATGTGCATGTGTGTGGCTCTTGCACACATGTTTTTAAATGAATAGTTAGTTAATATTTTACCGCCCTCCATTGTTCTAAGAAATGGACAATAGTTTAGTATAACGCACTCAGGTCCCACAGTCTCATACAGTGTGACAGTAGCTTTATATGGACCACAGGGCACACACTCGAGTGTGGCAAAGTGGATTTTATGTTGTCGATATGCTGGACATCTGTTGATCAAGATTATTTAAAGATGATTAGAATGCAATGTCCTGCAGCTTGGATAAATTGCTTTATCTTTGAATTAACTACATAACACTGAAATAGCTCAAAAATTATTTTAATGTTTTTTGTATCCCCCATATTAATTAGGGCACAGGGAATACTGCACTGCTACTGTAAATTCCAGTTCTAAATAATACCAAATTACTCAACAGGACAAATCCTTAAATAAAATGACAAATGTTTTGTCTTTTTGTTCAATTGAGGTTTTTCTGTTTTGTTCCATTCTTTCCATGAACAATGTTCAGAAAGTTGTCTTTTACTGCAGCAATTAAATGTGTAATAAATGTGTACTCATAACTGATTTTGGGCTAGTGTTGATTTTTTTTTTAATAAAAGGAAAAAGAAAAGACAGTGGATTCTATATTAAAGATTTATGTTAGCACAAGGAATACATTAGATGCACATTTTTTAAAACTATACTTTCAGCACATTTTATTTCTTGCAATATTAAATTCTCATGCTTTTGGGTGACAACGTTTTTTAGGTCAAATAGATACCTCTATTAATTTATTAACAGTGCTGTTGACTGCAGTGACTCAAAATAAAAATAAAACAAATCTTATTTTTTTAATGAAAAATAGAAGGCTACTGGATCGGTGATTCTTTACTGTAGGACCAAATGTTTTAGCGGAGACACTTTTCTGCCATAAACAGGTGTTCAATATTTTTTTATTATTATTTATTTTATTCTGAAAAACGAAATGATTTACTTTCTGGAGAGCATTTAAGCACATCCATTAAGCCTTTACCACTGAAAGACTCCTAGCAATGATCCAAACAAATACAGTACAAATATTAGAAACAGCTTCTGCTGTGCAAAAACAAAATAAAAATGCCTAATCCTTGCCCTTTTTAATAAAAATAATTTCACAAATGGACAAAACGACCTCCTGTTGTGCAGTGAAATCATTCTCAGCTAATTTAACTAGAAATATCCTTATGAAGAGACTGGAAATGATCACTTTAGTGAGGAATACATACAAACCTTCTTATTCCCGGGCAGTCTGCTGGGAGTAAGGCTCTGACAGCGGCTGGCTGTGTGTAATGTCTGCTGTCTGTCTTTTGCGTTTTGGTTTGTTGGCTTAAAGCACAGCGGGCTCCGAGCCACCGCGCAGGAGAGTCAGTGGAGAACAAGCAGCCCTCGCATTCACAACTAAAGCTCCACGCTGTGGACACTGCCCCCGAATCTGTGTGCTTCCAACAGCCGAGCAAAGAACTCCCAACACCTGGCCGTTAGAACGGCACCACACGTGCAACTTAAATAATGCATTAATGCAATGTTATTTCATTAATAAAGAGAATAAATAGAGCGGATTCATGCTTCATATACTATATATATATATTTACAGACAAAATATAAATGGCAGCCACTGACGCACAGTGTCTTTGATTTACAAAACTTCCAACAATATGGACAAAACTACAAATAAAATATCAGAAGTAGACAAGTTGAGAAATAATATTAATAATAACAGTAAAAGAGTAGAATAGAGAAATTCGTTTGGGATAAAAGTGCAAAAAGGATGGGGCAGCGTGATGCGTCTATAGGCCTATCTTCCAAAGCATCCATTATTTATAATCATCTGTACACAATGTCAGCCTTAAAATAGAGTGACATTTCAAAATGGACAAATGTAGACTTTTTAGTAATATTAGCTGCTAATAATAATAATCATAATAATAATAATAATAATATGTTTTGTCAGACATAACAATACGAAAATTCTATACATAGAGTAAAAGGGGCAACTGTAAAAAATCAATAGGCCCACTCTGCATGTGTGAATAAATATTAACATTGTTAATATTTTTGTAAAACAGTGAGTTATATATTTGTAATGGAAGGAGAAAGAGAGTCAGTGTTATCTACAGTACATGTACAGTGTGAGGGTCGCCGCCGGGTACAAAACGACTCTGCAGCCTACTATAGTAGATGGTCCGGGGAGCAAATGTCGTCCTCGATGTCCACGTCGTCGTCGTCGTTCTCATCCAGCATGTACGAGTCCGCCTCCAGTCCGTGTTTGAGCTCCTCCGCGCTCTTGTCGTTCAGTTCGCTCTCGCTGGAGTTGTCCGCGGACCGCTCCAGCTCGCCGGGCGTCTTCCGCTCGTCCTGCGCCTTCCTCAGCTGCTTCTTGTGCTTCATCCGCCGGTTCTGGAACCACGTTTTTACCTGGGAGGTGGGTAAGAAGGGTGTGAATTATTATAGAAAGGATCCCTAATGTATCCCATATTGGCCTGTGAGCTACACAAATCCAAAAATCAAAATCAATATAAAAGCAAAACTATTCAAATGTTTATCTTTAGAAAAGAAATTGGAATAAAGATGATATTAAATCTAGGATTTATTGTGTATTTAGAGTGACCTGTACATTTTGAAATATCAGCTGAGTATATTTAACTCACAATTACGCGTAAACCTTATTAAATCTTCAGAGTGAAACAACATGAATTGCTCTCATTTGTTGCATATATCTTTTTGCTTTGTAGTATATTTAATAGCTATAAATAACATTTTGGCGATTTTTTAAAAATATTCTTTATTCGTGTATTTTTGTTGTTTGTTTGTTTGTTTATTTGAGGAACCCCATTTGCCCCACACAGAGGCATCACACATTGATGCATCCTGCTCTAGCCCGGTGCTTTCAGTGTGTGTGTGTGTGTGTGTGTGTGTGTGTGTGTGTGTGTGTGTGTGTGTTTACCTGTGTCTCAGACAGACTGAGCGCTGTGGCCAGCTCCACTCTCTCCGGGGTGGACAGGTACCGTTGGATCTCGAACCTCTTCTCCAGGCCGGACAGCTGCGAGTCGGAGAACACCGTCCGGGCCTTCCTGCGTCTGCAGTGCTTCCCCGGTAGCTCCGCGTGGTGCTGGAACAGGGCCGGCATCTGCATCCCTGCAAGGTGACAGGGAACAAAACAAACAAACAAAAACTCTTAACATATCGCAGCAAATAGAAGTTCACTGCAGCTGATGAGGCGTTTGGTGATTTATGTGATAAAGAAATAGGCTATATATTTTTTTGTGAATGTAAAATCCATAATTCATTATTATTTAGACAGAATTATTTAGTGCACCAAGAATTAGACATAAACTAAGATGAAAAAGGTGTTATCTAATATTAGTTTTACACATGCAGTCAGCTCGAACCGAATAAAGTGCAGGTTATTGTTGTATTATTCAGTACAATTATTATCAGTACAAATGAAGATAGCCTCTATGTAATATAATGTTAGCCCAGAGATTAAGAAGCATTGACACTGGCTTTCCTATTTAAATAGGAAAAATGCGTTTATGTGTGTAAGTATAGAGTTTCTAGCTTGTCCATATTTGACACAAGTTCCCTCCTCACTGAAGGCCGGTCCTCTGCCCCACCGGCTCTCCCAGGCTTACCAGATGTGAAGAAGTACTGGTGATGCTCCGGCTTGTGGAGAGGATGGTGCGGATGCGGCGCCAGTATCGGGGTCGGCATCAGCGGGTATCCGTACTCGAGGATGGGCATCCGGGAGGCGAGGGTCCCGCAGAACGGAGAGGGGATGACCTCTCTCAGCGGCTTAGGTTTGTGCAATAAGATGTCCTCAATGAAAAACGACGTGGACCTCTGCGTGGGCGCCGCAGACGCGTAGTTCATACTCATGGTGGTAGTTTTTGGGGAGTTTATTTTTTTCCTCGCTTTTTAAACCAGCATCAGCATCTAGCTCTCCCCCCCAGGTCTCCCAGGCTTAAATGCAGCCCCTGTGTGTGATCAGTGAATGACACTACGCCGAGCATTACACAGAGATCAGTGGGAGGGCGCGTTTCCGACAACTATTTATTCAAAGAGAGTAGCGGATTGGGGGAAATTGATTTGCTCGTCAGCCAATTAGAGCTGCGTATGGACGGAGGAGCGATGTGGGGGGAGGCGTTCTTCCTTCTGATTGGCTGAGACGCGTTCGAGGCTGGTCGGGGAAAAAAAGAAGAAACAAACAGATTCCAGAGATGCGGCGCACCTGTGACAGCATCAGCGTTCATCTGAACAGCGACTGGAAATCCAACCGAGAGTCTCCGCTCGTAGTGGTGCTTATGCGGTCGCCTAGCAACCGGGCTGTTTCGCCAATGGCCTCGTGGAAGAAGGGTTCTTCATTTAGCCCAAATACAGTTTGTCAAATACAGTTAATTACCCAGTATTGAATGTTAAATTCCGGCAATTATGAACACAAAGCAGATGTATCTAAACTAGAGCTGTACAATGAATGGAAACATTACTGAAATAACAATATGATTAAGTGCAATATCCAGATCGCAGAAGCTAGAGTTTGTTTAATAGCATTGTAATGAAGTAGCGACTGTAGAGCTGCAGTAATGTTCCAGGTGTAAGGAAGCATGTTTGTTTTCTACAGACTGCAACAAAGGTCATGTTTTAGTATTTGTATTTCAGTGAAAATGAAAATTGTGAAGCAAAAAAACGATCATTCCAAATAATGGTGGATCCTATCGCAATGTGTGTGTGTTCTTCCACCCTGCAGCCAGAATTAAAGCTGCAGTATGTTGCTCATTCACTGTTGTTGGCTAGTTGGTGTAGTCCGGCGGGGATAAAAAAATCCGTTTACTGCTATGGTGGCATTTTTCACTATTTTACACTACTGGAAGGAGCCATGGTGACCTGGTGCACAGTGGTGACTTAAACATAATATGAAGTGTATTTGTCCTCATAAAAGAATCCTTTTGGATACTTGTCAGTGTGAGTTTATGTGCTTTATGGTGTTGTTGCTGCAGTGTTTATACGCTGCTGCACATGGCCGCTAAAACACAGATTTACACATTTGTCTGCATTTCATCCAGTCTAAGCTTTTTTTTTTACTTCTTGTGGCATCGCTGTGTAATTATATATCTATATTTATAGTTTATGTAAGTTTTCGACAGTTCATATATGGTGAGTGATACTGTGGGATACTTTCTGATAATTTACCTTCTGCGCCATTTTTAATTATGATCCAAACGTCTCAGCCCCTCGTAATACTATTCTAAATAGCTTAAGAGCTCTACATAAGAAAAAGGAAATACACTAAACACAGAATAGATGAGTCTGCAGTCAAACAAGGACACTTAAAACACATTCAGTGGTTATTCAAGTATAGGCCTAATGAATGAAATACACAATGATAATATAAATAACAACACTAATAATAATAAAGATCACCTTTTAACGGCGGCTGCAGATTACAATTTCAAACTATCATCAGTCAAACATTTTTCAGAACGCCACATCTATTTCCAGGTTGTTGAATATGGCGTGGCCACGCCCCCGATAGTCATGTCATAACCTTTTTTTTAAGTCACATACTTTCTTATGATGAGCTCGTTGTTGATTTTTAGGAATGGAAGTAAAGATAAATATGATGCAGCGTATTGTCCCACTTCCATCCATCCTCAGGGGCGGATCTATCCCACTTTAGTGTCAAATGCTGTCAGTTTGAACAAAAATAATGAAATAATAAAAATGATGTGTTAAAAAACGGTAATTAATTTACTGTTGTGTTATGGCCGTATTTTTTAGGAGTTTAAAGTGATTAAGATATATTAAAAAAATACATGTAGGCCTATTTAGAAATAAATCTGGAAATAAACCTTTAGATAGTTAACAAGTAAACAATAATGTTTTTGAGTTCAGATAGCCTATCTTCATTTGAGGGATATTGATATATGTGATTGTTTGTGATTAAATGAGCAGCTATTTCTGCCAGCCCTTAAAGTCTCCATGCCAACCTCTGGACACCCTGTGAATATTTCTCTATTTCCACCCCTGTTCAGAATGACTTTCTATAAACCCGATGATGGCCTTGGACACAAAACTTTATATTGACTTGTCTGCAAACTTGAACACGCGACCACACAGTGTTAGTAATTGTTCACTCGGAGAACTTCTGCACTCTTCCTCCATGTTGGTGCTTTCTGAATCAGGGGATGTAGCCTGTGTCACAGGAGGATTGTTCTGCTACAGGTCTGTCTAGTCATTTCGCCCAAATTGGCTGTAATTGTCGGTATTAAAATCTGGGAGAGTACAAGTGCCGCTCCTGTGCCCGTTTGCCAAAGAAAGCGGTGCGCTGTAATTTGTTGATATGGTGTTGTCATCACATTTCCAATCAGGCCGCTTAATGCGAAAGTGTCTTAATGTAGGCAGAATTCACGCTGCAATGCTATTAGGCAATTAAGGGAGATGTTAGAGCGGAAGTTGTAATCCTTTGGCTGGAGGACAGGATTTCCATTTGATCAGATGGAGGGAGAACAAATTAATTACTGGGAATCAGTTACGCTGGAAAAAGCGCCGCTCTGCTACATTAGTTTGCATAGGTTTGTATTAAATGGACGTGTCAAAATGTAAATTAGCGGGATGGTTGCAAATCAAACACCTATTGGCACGGCGGGGACTGTACAGCAGTTCTACCTGCTCTATAATAACTCATTCACAAATGATGCTGCTTCTAAAAAGCCATTACAGTAAGATTCTGTCCGTTTCCATCATGGATTAGTCTGAAAAATCATTCAGGAGACAAATCAAATTATTTTCTCTGGCAGATTTCTCATAAAAATAAGATTCCAGGAGTCAAAATACATTAAAACACTTATCTTGGCTTTTTTAGGTGATGTTAAAGAATAGCAGCAGGAAAGAAAAGACCTTTTAAAGACATGGCCAAAGCAGATGGAGGTGCACCTGGCTGTGCGTCAATCCCTTTTATAGAGCGCACCAGGATAACAAGTTGCTTTTAGGGGGAAATTAGAAAGTAAATGAAACAAATGGTGATGAAATCGTCTTTAGGATCCGTTCTTGAGGCGCGGTTAAGCGGCTTTCTGTGGCCATTTCATTAAGTAAGATTTTGAGCCGGCCAGGCAGTGCGTCACTCCGTTAAGTGGCACGTTTGTATGAGAGCTCTGCAGTAGTGCCTTGTGTAAAAAAAAAAAAAAAAAAAAGGCTTATAGTTCCAAAAGCGAAAAAGCAAAGGAATAAAGCGACCCCCCCCCAAATGTATTTGCGGAAATGTATGTATCCACAAATATTTATAGAAATCCATACAGTATATGTGCATTCCTAGTGTTTCTGTAATATAAAACATACTACCGTTTGTTTATTTTAAAGCTTAAAACAACGACTTTTAGTAACAGAATCTTGATTAATGGTATTATATATCTTTAGTAAGACTTTTTTTCAATAATATTGCTCTAAGATCTATTCACGGCAATTGTTAGGGATAAAACGTTGAATTCCTGCATAACGATGGATTAGAATAGTTTTCATAGGCATATTAGGGTGTATTTTGTTTTTGTGTTTCTCCATTATTTCCCCCATAGATCAAAAAACAAATCATTATGAAAACGTTTTCAAATAAAAAAAAAATATATATTATTTTGTAATATATATGTAGATGTGTGTTCAGACATAATTGCATTTAGGTTTTTGTTTTCCAGGGTGTGTTTTCATTGCAGACTGGTCTGTACCTATATTTTGTAGGACAGATTAATAAGTCTCCATGGTTATGGACACACAGTATTTATTATAAGGCCAAGGGCAAGGAGCATGAATGGAGCACCCTAGTAAAAAAACACAGCTGGACAGCTGACAAAAATGCAGAAAAACACTGTAACCACTAGTGTAATGATGCATGGAGAAGTGGGTGCACTCTTGATTTATGCCCTAGCCCAAGAAACCCAGCCCATCCAGCAATGGATAAATGCATCTTTCTATAAACAGTGACAGGTCTTGCTGTAGTTTGGTCACTCCAACAGGGACCAGTAGTATTTGCACATTGTTACTTAACTACTGCAGCTTGTTTGAGGCAGCAATGATCATTATTAAATCAACATTAGCCACAAAAGAATCAATACTGGCCCTCAGACTACAGGGTGAGAAAACTACATATGACTCTAGAATGAAATATTCCTCACTCCAAATTGGACAACTATGTCATGCCTTCGCCATCCTAGGAAACATAATTCACCTTGCAGATTTAGTAATGTATAGTATAGCTGCGTATACCCTGCACTACACCACTGACTGTAACAAAAAATCACCCAAAGAAATTGAGTAGAACATGCACAGCGTCTAAATAAAAATACAAGAGCCATGTTTTCCCACTCTTTTATTGAAATCATTTAAACTTTGATCGCAAACTCTGCATCCACACTGATGGTGAGAATCTACACACTCATAATCCATGGCTTCTTTCTGGATGATGCTCTAATTCTTCTAATGAGAGTTAGCACTCCTGGGGCATTCATGCATCCGATAGGCACACATATAGAAGATACCTGGAAGCAAAGGGAGGTTAGGTCTTTGTTATCCATCAGGAATGTAACTTGAATTGACATGGATTCAGTAAGAGGAGAAGCAATGTGCGTGATTTACTGAATTTTGGGGACATATAAAGTATGCTTATGTTAAAATTGTGCAGTTCTATATATTTGTTGTACACACAATATGCACAACTCTGTGTGTCCTATTTTTGGGCCCTGATCATCAGTGACTAGTTATTGAAGGTTTTTCATTCAAAAATAAAAAATCACATTGGTAAATTGGCTTTTTATGTCATTCTAAGACAGTAAAAATGTAGTTGTTTTTTTCCTTTGAGTCTATGGAGCAGCTTTGATTTCCTATCAAAGTCACCAACCTAACTGATTAGATCCCAGTGCTGTGTCGAAACACTTAGACACTTCACATTATTCTTTTGCTGTTTATTTTGCATCCAATTAATGCATGCAAATTTGGAAAACTATCATAGAAAAAAACGTGTAACGTGGTATTGTAACTCTCCATCACTGAAGTATTATAGTTATTGTACTACTTTGTTATTTTTGTTATTGATATTTTCAGTCTCAGCAAA